CGCAGGTTCAGAGCCATTGCTAGGGCTTGAGCAAAAGCAAGGATGTGTCTGCCTGTTGCTTCTTGATGTTTCTTAAGCCATGGAGCTGCGGTTCAAGCCCCTGAGTTCCTTCCTGGGGTCCACGGGGTGACAGACCCAAAGGAGTTGCTGGAGAAATCTAAAGAAATGATGCTCCTCTCTTGAGCCACGGGTTAAATGCATTGGAAAAGTCAAAAGGAACTGAACCTCCCAACTCTGAGAGGTCATGCCCACCCTAACACTTAGATGTTAGAATTTCTGGAGGAAACAAAGACAACTCTAACCCAAACCCCTGTATTTGTAATTGGTACTCATTTGATGACACACCACAAGAAAACATAAGGATGTACTACGTCTTGATGAGGGTATTTCTTTGTTTCATTTTACAGTCAAGAGTCTCGCTTTGTATATCTGGCTAGCCTTGAACTCTCTATGTACACCACACTGGCATCAAAATCACAACAGATCTGCCTGCTTCTGCCTCCTGAGTGCAGGGATTAAAAGTGTATATATCACTATGCCCAGATCTTTCACCTTTTAACTCCTTCATGTTGTCCAGCACCCTTTCTGTGGCTACCATAAGAAATTACCACAAATCTGGTACTTTGAAACATTCTGGTAGCCATGAATAAAAAATCACCACCACTGATCCCACATTGAAATTTAGCTTGTCCACATTCCTCCCAAAGGCTCCACCGGAAAATCTATTCCTCGCTTCTTCTAGCTACCAGGGGCTGCCAGCACCTCTATTTTGTGGCCATATCACCTCTGGCTTCCGGTCTCTCTACTCAGTCTTTCTATCATGTCCTCCTGCTAGGTGATTCTCTCTTCTAAGGCCACTTGTGATGCTTCAGAGCTCATCCTGACAATGCAGTTCCTAAATTAATCACACCAGCAAAGACTTGGCTCTAAAACAGTAAGAGTTCCAGGATGAAGACTGGCTGTCCATGGGAACCATTATCAGCTATGACAGCTGGCAAGGTGACACCATCTTCATTTAGAATAGGAAATCTGAAGTCCAAATCCAGCAGGTGCTGCCATAATCATAAAAGCTTTGATGGGGGGAAGCCATGCTGTGGAGTCCAGGGACACGGGGAGCAGTGGTGACTTCCAATTGTGAGGCTTTTTGACAGTGTTATAACCTGGGCTGGTGACAATACCCCAGGTCAGTCAAGGTGAGATGTGTTGACATCTGGGCAGATGCTCTATGAAGATCGACCCAGTTGGCCAGAGAGGCTTGGACCCTCTGGACCGTGACATAATGGGGATTGACGGCAGAGCTGGATGAAGTTTCTATAACCAATCCATCCATGGCTGAGACAGAAGCATTCTTTAGCTATCGATGAGCATGCTCACAAATGGAAACACCAACAGTGTCTAAAAGCTGGAACATTATTGGAAAATGATTAAAAGAATGAATAATTTGTGTTGAAATCTGTATCCTTCTGAGATAGTTTGATGATGTTGTAGAGTGCAGAGATGTTTTTTTAAAGTATCAGATCATATATTCATCTTGACGACATCCTCCTCTGTGGCAGTTCTGAGGCAGGTGTACTTGGACTCCAGGGCACAGGATGTTCAGAAGAGAATGGATGCAGCCCCCCCTTCCCCCTAAGCGCTGTCTCCCCAATTCCCTCAGTTACATTCAGGTGGCTGCGTGTTCTCTGCAGGGCCCCTTAGTTCTTTGCTTGTCCCTATCATTCTGGAATACATTATGGCACAATCTTGTCTCTACCTCTCAAGAGCTGATAACATCAAGGCAAAGCAGGGTAGGGTAGAGGGAGGCAAGCAGGGCCACCGGATGCAAGCAGTGCCCAGGCTCTGTGACCACCGGGCCTCGGCTTGAAGCACTGTTGTCCCGTCATTGTGAGTCTAGCCAGCCTGACTTCCCAATTCTGCTGTGTGCGGGGATGATTAAAAGAGCCCTGCTGTCATGTGAGTAAATGGGGAGAACACAGAATGTGCACCACGTGCTCTCAGGGGTCACTTCTGACTTGTGGGATACCTTGAACCTTTCTATAGCCTTTCATTTATACACAAGCATATGCACTAAGGAATTCAAACCAATGCTGCTGATTTAAGGGGGAGAAGCAAGACAGTGCATGCAATTGGTGGTGTGCATCTTGCTTCTTCGGGTCTCAGGACAAAACTGCCAGAGGCATAGAGAACAGTTCTGACCCAATGACCTTCTCCTAGCATCAAGAACTACTGTTTCTAAGGCCAACCCTGCACAGATACGGATGAGTTTATCAATACCTTTGCAGGCATTGCTGACATTCCAACTGTGTAGGTGAGTGAATCAAGGCACATGAGAGGGAGGGACTATGTCAAGGCCACACATGCAGAATTTGCCTCTGAGCTGGAGAGTCCAAAGCAGTGGTTCTCAACCAGTGGGTTGTGACCCCTCTGGGGGGATTGAATGACCCTTGCACAGAGGTGCTCATAGCAGCTATCTTGCATGTCAGATGTTTACATTACTATTCGTAACAGTAGCAAAATTACAGTTATGAAGTAGCAATGAAAATAATTTTATGGTTGGGGGTCACCACAACATGAGGATCACAACATTAGTGTTTCAGGAGGCCTTGCTGGTCAGAGGTTGTGGTCTATCATGGTCTGGCAGCTTTCTCCAAATGCTCAGCAACATGCCGCCCCCTTCCCTCAGCGAGACTTCCTACTCTCTACCTGCCCTAATCTGGAGAACGTCCCTGGGCCCAGAGGACTGACCTTATCTGAAAGCTGCTCTAACCCTTGGCAGTTTCCTGCTAGAAGTTTCCCCTGCTGCACGTATGGTAACTAAGACTTATACTAGGAGCTTTGCTATAGGACCCTGCTGCCATATACAAAGTCTTACTGATAGAGGCCTGCCACTTAATGCAAATTAGGAGATTCCCCAGCCACTGTCCCCAGCCTTTATATTTCCTTTTCTTTCTGGAAAGAAAAGGGGAATTGTAACACTTAGACTGTCTCCCCAGGGAGCTGTCTCACAAGCCATCAAATCCTGCCCACTCCTTCGGCTCCCTCGTCCCTCACAGATGGCGGCGGTTAACGAGGAAGAAGCAGAGCCACACATCGGGAAGGTTGAGAACCACTGCCTGGGTTCCACACCTCTCCCAAGTACAAACCCCGCTCTGGGATAGAGGCCTACTCTCAGGTCATTTCTTCACTGCCAGGAGGAGCCAGGAGCCCTCCAGTCAAGGCTGATTTCCTCTGAGAGGAATTTGCCACTGGTGCACATTATCAAGTGGGAAGCACCTGGCCCCGTGGCCGAAGAGGCCACAGTTGTACATGCTGTGGAAAGTAGTGCCTGATGGTGGAGAAAGAATGGGCTAAATTGTCTCCTTGGCTGAAAGGTTCACTGGCTCAGGGGCTGTGGGCAAGAGGTAATACTGGAAAAGCAAGATGAAGGGTGGACTTGGTTTCCGTCCTACCACTCATTGTTTCACTTATTTTGAGACAGCCTCAGATAGCCCAGGATGACCTAGAACTTCTGATCCTTTTGCCTCCACCTCTGGAGTGCTTTGAATACAGGTGTGAGCCACCACATCTGGTATATGAAGGAGCGGGGACTAAACCCAGCATTCTAGGCAAGCACTCTACCAACTGAGATGCATCCCCAATCCCTTCTTTTCTGGGACTACAAAATGAGGGGGCTGCTGGGCCTCACATTCTCTGAGTCTCCTAATTCCTCAAATGAAGAGCCTATGCATAGAGATACTATCCCTGAGCATTAGAAACAGACTCCCACTCTGTGGAGAAAGGATGGAATTTTGCCTTGTCCCTTTCTCGGGCTAAGTCTGGTGTTTTTATCCCCCTCAAAATAACCTTTGAAAGGACACCTGCAAACTGCAGGGGTGGCCCTTCTGTGGAGAGAGGGCGTCTACTCTGTGGGACATCACCATTAGCCTTTGGAGAAGAGACCTGCTGTGCGCATGCCCACAGCAGGTTTAATGCAGGCTCCTGGGAAGACTGAATGCCAAGAGAAGGCCAAGGGCACCTGCGGGATGGAGGGCATTGTGTACCCCGGGACTCCACGCCTCCAGAGCCCCTTAGCCGGGCAAGTAGTGACTCACTAGACAGCCTCTCCTGGCTTTGTGATGATTGTTGACATGGCTCATCAGGTAACCTTCAAAGCTTTACTTGGATGCTTTGTCCAAGTACCAAGGCAGAGGAAGCTGACTTTTTAAAAATATATTTTATCTTTAATTGATGCATATCCATTGTGCGCATTTAAGGGAGAGAGCGTGACATTCAGCGCACACAGACCGCAGTGATGACTGACAGGCATATCCATCAGACACTTAGGTATTGAGGACGTTCACTATCCTTTCTAGAGTTACTCCGAAATAATGAGCAGCTGTCAATCACAGTTATCCTACCATGTAATAGAACGTCAGAAGCTGTTCCTCCTATTTGACGGCACTTGTTGACTACCTTCCCTCTATTTCCTACTCTCTCCAGGCTCACGTGACCACAGTTTTTTTTCTTTGAAATTAACTTTTTAGCTCCCATAAATATGGAAGTATATATGTCCATCCTCTGAGGTCCATTATAGCTAGGCACTAAAAGGCAAGGGGGTGGGGTGGGGTTAGGAAATCCAAACCTAGGGTTCTCAGGGTGAAACATTTACCATGCAAGTGTGAAGGCTGGGTTGAGATCCCTAGCATCCATGTAAATGCTGGGACAGACATGGTGGCTTGCCTGTAATCCTAGCACACGGGAGGCTGAGACAGGGGATCCCTAGAGGAAGCTGGCTAGCCTGAATAGCTAAATTGTTGAGCTCTAGGTTCAAATAAAGAGACCCTGCCTCAATATATAAGGTGGATAATGATTGAGGAAGTCATCTGACATCAGCTTTTGGCCTTCACATGGAGACACACACACACACACACACACACACACACACACACACACACACACACACACACACACGCATGCACATCCCCCCCCACACACACCCTACCTACTCACATGAAAAAAAAATATATCAGAGCTCATCCCCACCCTCCATTTCAGACACGTTCAGGGCTCCTGTACAGATGATGGCAATATATTCTTGTAGTGGAACCAGGAAGAGTTCTGGGATGACCGGAAAGGGAAGTACAATCAGGAGTCCTCAGAGAAAAGGCATACTGGGTACCGTCTGCCCGAAGAACACTAGATTGTTGCCATTTCTCACGTCAATCCCAGGTGACGGACTGGCAAGCAGCTGCTCAGATGTCTGTGCTGAGAACTGTAGGGCTGTCTGTGAGCCCTGCCAGAAGGAGAGCTATGCTAATTCCCAGAATGCTGTGACAGCCCAGCACAAACAGGGTGGCTCAAAAGTGACAGAATGTGTTCTCTCGCAGCTCTGTAGACAAGAAGCCTGAAGTCAACATGTTTGCGGGACCATGCTGCCTTCAGAAGCTCCAAGGGAGGGCTTGTTTCTCCCAGCTTCTGGGGTTTATTGGCTTACGGCTCCATCGCTCCCATTCCTGCCTCTGTCTCCACACAGGCTCCTCCTTTTGTGTGTCGCCGTGTGCTCAACCCTTCTCCTTTCTCTCAGAAAGACTCCAGTCAACGGAGTTAATCAAGGATGATTGCATCTTGAGAGCCCTAACTAATCACCACCCATGAAGAAGACGCTACTTCTAAATAAGGCGTGTTCTGATGTTGATGTTGGGGGGGCCACTATTCCACCCAGTTCCAGGGGGGCCACTATTCCACCCAGTTCGAGGGCTATAATGGTCGAGCAATCTTGACCAGGGTACAGGGATGCCAAATATTAGTGCCCATATTGTTCCCCTGTTGTGTTCATAGCTTTATAGACGGAGGAACCGGGATCCAGACAATAAAAGAGTCTTGCCCAGAACCATAACATAAGGGCAATGCAGGAGATGAGAAAAAGAATGAGGATGTACAGGTGGGGAAGAGTTACAGGGGAGAAGTGGGATGGGGAAGGGTGGGGATGCATTGGCAGTTCCCTGTGGCACCGAGAAGGGCACCTTGGCATTTGAAACCGCTATCCACATAAGAGCTACACGGAGGAGTAAGAAAAACGATAGATAACTAGTCAGCCCGAGAGACGACTCAGCCGTAAATCCTTTGCCTCGATGAGCCTGGGGACCTGAGTTCAATCCCCAGGACCCATGTAAAAATGCCAGGCATGGTGGTATGACTCGGTTATCTGAGAGCCGGCAAAGTTCACTGGCCAGCTAGCCTTAGCCTGCTTGGTGAGACTCTAGGCTGAGAGACTTTGTCTCGGACAGAAAGCAGACAGTGCTTGAGGCTGCGCTCTGATCTCTACACAGGTATAACATGTACACGTACACACACACACACACACACACACACACACACACACACACACACACACACACGCCAACTAAAGAGAAAATACAGGACCATCAGAAGGATGTAGTGTTGTTCTGGGGATCAACCTGCAGAATACGGCTCATTTTTGGCCGGAGGAACCAAAGCTCCTCTCACTGGGCGAAAGCCTTCTCAGACTGGTCCCTGAAAGCATTGTGCGTAGATGCCTGCTGGTTGCCATGGTGAATGATGCTGATCTGAAGAAATGAATAATGTGAGCGTTGGGGGCGACAGTGGGATTACTCAGTGGTGAGAGAGAGACCGAGGAAGCCTAGTGCGGAGGAGGGAGAAGCGCATCATCTCGGACTTGGTCCATTCTCTGAGGAAGAAGTCTAACCGCATATACTGCGAGCATCAGGTAAGAGACATGAATGGCTGTCTTGGAAATGAAAATGGCTTTTCCTTTCACACTGCCTGGAGAAGGGCCAGGCTGTGGGAACCGAACAGCTAAAACCAGGAAGAGCTTAAAAACAGAAGGCAGGAAGAAAAATAAATACGGGTGGTGGTGGTGGATTTATCTCTGGAAGCCGAAGATGCTGCTGGCATTCTCAGTAGCAGCTCTTAAAGATGTCTGCTGCAGGGAACCCAGGCTATAACATAGCCAGCAGCAGAGGAGACAAATAGAGGGAAAGGCATGCGTGAGGCTAGGATTCCCAATTACCCTGATGGGAGGGTTTTACAGAGCGTGGTGCTGTGTATTATAGGGTGTGAATTCCGCCCCATTTATGGCAGTTGGAAGTGTGTTTGCTGGACGTGGGGGTCCATGGGTGGGGAGGTGAGCATATATGATGAGACCAGGGAGGGAGAGTAAATCAGTCTCCTTGCCGACAGGCATCTCTTGGAAGGATCTGCACACACCTGTCCCATCTCTGTCATTTCCCATTTACTGGGCAGACATTCCCAGCCAAATGGAAAGGAGTGATTCCCTCTCCCAAGCATTTCACTGTCTTTAGAGAAGAAAATCAAGGCTTGAAAAACTACTTCACACTGTCCCATTTTTTTCCCCCATGGCTCACCTACCCTGATAACACAAGCATAAAAACAGACATCAGTTTGGCTTAGCATTCACTCTGGGCTACAGTCTGACCGACTGCTTTTTACAGTGCATTTCAATCTACAATGCAAATCTGCACTCTGGCTGGAGAGGAGGAATGGAGAACAAGGCGGGGGAGCCGGTCACCGGAACATAGACAGGATGCCTACCGTTGTCCCTAGATCTTTGATCAGGGGAAATTCAGAGGGGCAGTTTTCTCTCTCAGACAGAATGAAAGAAAAAAACCAAAAACCTAATGTCGTTCTGTTAACAAAGCAGTAAGGCTGGCAAGCTGAACAGGTCTCATCTGGCTTGTCCAGCCACACAGCCACCAGGGCACTTCATCTGGCAGTAACGTTCTGTTTTTAAACCCCGTGGCTTTGCAGAGAAACCCAGTGGCTAAGTTCTCTCTCCTCCTGTTAGCTGAGATGCCAGGCTGCTCATCTGTAAGATGGGAGTGGAGTCTATTTTCGTGTGAGAAGTCCTCTAGCAGAGCCTGGATTCAGCAACTGCTCACTTGCTCTGTGAGTGCTTAGACCAGAGGTTCTCAACCTGTGGGTCCCAAACCCTTTTGGAGGTTGAAAGACTCTTTCCTAGGGGTTGTCTAAGACCATGGGAAAACATAGATATTTATGTTACAATCCATAACAGTAACAAAATTACAGTTATCAAGTAGCAACAAAAAAATTTGTGGTGGTGGTGGTGGGGGCTTACCAAGGCATCCTCATGCATCAAAGGTATCAAACTGTATCAAAGGGTCGAAACATTAGGAAGGTTGAGAACCACTGGGTTAGATAGTCACAAGTCATGGTACCAGGACTATTAGAAGCTAAGCTATCCTGGGAGCTGATGACCTTGACCTGAGAAACTAATTTCTTGGTACCTTGGATTCTGATAAAACAAAACGCTAACAGAAGCTCTGAGGTGGTATCGCGGCAGGAGGGTGCCGCAGTGAATCTTCACTAGCCATGGGAAACACAGCTCAGTCTTAAAAAAAAATAAATAAAAAGAAATCAAACCAGCCACTGGGCGGAATGTTCTAGGTAACAGCTCATAGCACACGCAGCAGAGTCAGGAGATCAGAGAGAGACTGATCTGAGAATCATAAGGTAGGCCCTCTAAGACTCTACTGATCTCTCTTCACATTGCCTGTGTTGGTAAGGGTTGGGATCAATGTTGTTAAGTAATGGATTTCAGCCAGGATGGGTATGGCTGGGGCCAAGTGGGTGCATCTTAGGCCTGAGAACCACAGCTTTGTCATGAGCCAGCCCTCATTCCCACCTGTATTCTACCACTTGTTAGCTGGCTTACATAGCTTAACCTCTGGGCCTCCAGTTTTTGGTCTGTGTAACAAAGGCAGTATTTGTGGGATGTCACTCTTCACTGTGATCTGGTTCCAGAACCGGGATGAACATTGAGGTTGGGAACGTGTCTTACACAGGAGCCATCATCTCCTGGTCGTCCTCAGAGCCTTGCTTGGAGGACTATTACCATATTATGTACAGGCCCAACTGGAACAGTATCTTCTCCGGCTATCTGCGCTACAGCTTCCATCACGAGGAGAAGGTGCCTCGAACCATCACCTCTGTGGCGTTGAAACACCTCGCCCCTTCCACTCTCTACTTCCTCTGTATCAGCTGCAAGAAGGCTGCCTTCCCATACAGTCACTACTGTACCATGTTCCACACCCTGGATAAGAGTCCACTGGCTGCCGGGGGCTCCCTGGTGGACCCCCAAATTTCCCTTTGGGTGCTGATGGCCATCCTGCTGGCCTGCTTCACTGCTGTGTTGGCCTTCATCTGCCTCCAGTTCTGGTGCATCCGCTGTCATGAGCCTCGATGGTCTTACAGAGCTGGCCACTTGGAGGAAGCCAATGGGTTGGTAAGATGGCCCGAGGAGGCCCCAGTCCTTGGTCAGAGGGAAGAAGACCTGCAGGGGCTCCCCCTGGTGGAACTGCCACGCAAGAACTCTGGGGCCAGAGAAGAAGCTGAACCAGAAGCAGAAGCCAACCAGGATGCCTTGGATGTGGTGGCCTTAGCTAGAGAAGGTGGTAACCAACCAGCCATACTGCCTCACTATAGAGCGTGAGCAATGGGGAGGAGATGGCCCATTTCACATAGCCTAAAATGCTGTCTTTAGTGTGTCCTATGTGAACATTTGTCTACAGGCCACCCGCTTCTCTCCTTTCAAATGACAGTGCTGTATGGATGAGTGGGGTTGGATGGATGCCAAATGACAACGGTCCCCAAGCTGGAAAACACAGGCCCTCGAGGTATGTCAAGGGCAAACAAGGCATTGCATTAGTGTTGTCCATTTGGAGGCCTAGTCAAGAACTGCAGACCTGGTTTCAATATTAAAATCACCGTGGCTGCATCACAGAGAGTAAAAGTCGCTGGACCTGAGTCTGAGACACTAGAAAGAAATGCGGAGTCAGATGTGGACCCTGAGAATCTTTGGAAAAGGATGAAAGCCCCGTTCTAACTGTCAGGCAATCGCACACCACACCCTGCACCCCCAGGTTCATTTTTTTTTTAAGCCACAGACTGGCTTATCTTTAACAGCTAACACCTTTTATTTAAATTGACCACAGATTTAAAACACAGACCCTTAGAAGACAGCCTTGTATTACCCCATAAACAAAAATCCAGGCCCCTCTTGTTATAAATAGAACAGATGTAAGAATACATACAACAAAATAATATTAAATTTGATGACGACTTCTGTCTGCCAATGCCTCTGGGCTTAAGACCATCTCTCTTGTGTCTGAGCAAAAGGGAGGCCAGCCAGTGCTGAAGTGACCAGCATCAATGCTAATGTAAGTGGCTTTCCTTTACAGAACAGAAGGTTTGAAAGAGGATTGGAAAGGGAAGCATGTGTTTCAGTGTGTGGACCATGTCTGTGAGCCACCTCAAATGCTGTCTGCCAGCCCTCCCCACCCTCTTTTTGGTGGGTTTGGGAGTGGAATCTCACTGCATAGTCTTGGCTGACTGGAACTTGCCATGTAGACCAGGCTGTCCTTGAACTCACAACAGTCCTACTGCCTCGGCCTCTCCAGCATTCGAACAGTTGAGCGCTACCACACCTGGGTTACAAGCTTCTCTTTGAAGCTCTTTTTGTTTTGTTTGAGAAAATGACCTTGAAAAGTCTGACTCCTCTGGAGAAGACACCTGTGCCCTCTAGCATCCTCCTCATACCTTGGAAGTACCCCATCCAGATCTTCTCTGGGTCAACCACACTTCTAAACCCGAAGCTCTCTTGACCTCACACACTGTATTCCTGTAAGCTTTTCTCTGCTTACTTGGAAAATGGGATCAAAGGTGGCTGTTTTTGTTCTGTTGCCTCTTTTTTTGGTGGGAGACATGTTTCACCCTTATGGTGGCTTTCTTTATTCCTCCCACATGAGCCCGTATCATAATTCAATCTATACCTATTGTGACACTGGTGGGACTTGGTGAAAACTATTCCTTACCACACAGGTGGACATGGAATTATAGGTAGGTATAGATTATGTCTCTTCACCCCGATATACACTAATAGGCCAGACATGGGTTACCCGTGGGGGTAATTACTTAGAATGAAGGTGTGTATGTGAACAAAAGCCACATAAGGAAGAGGAAATCATCTTCTCAGAGACAGCCCCAGCCATCTACAATGGCCTTCAAGCTCTGTCTGTACACCCCTTATATTCACAAAGTCCCAAATCCCAGAATCACCAAGCAAGAAATGGGAGAAACTGGAATGCCACAAGGAGAAGCCCCATATACCCATTTACCCACCAAGCTCGGCACGCTACTCACCCCTCTCCTCAGCTCCCACCCGATTCCCCAACCCCCAGAGCTTTGTTCACCCCATCCCTGCTAGCTGTGAACCAATAAAGATGGATGGATTTGTCATGGTTTGTGCTTGGCTCTCAATGGACCTCTTGGACAACACAGCCTCTGACTTTTCTGATTCTGGGAACACCTTTCTATTTGTATTTTTCACACTCTGTCACAGGTGGCATGGGCCGTGACTAATTACCTTGGATCCATAGAGGTAATAAGGCTGGACGTTGGCGGGTTTATCTCGTTGTGGTTCTTGGGTGAAGGGGATGGCAGTTCGGACAAAACTAGAAGAAAAGAGACAGAGAAGCAGTGAACTGGGTCCCAGAGACATCTTTCAAGGGACAGGAGACTGCAGTACCCCCCCCCCCCCTCCCCGCCACTCCAGCTGCAGCATGTCCTAGATGGCTGCCTACAGAGCAGCTGCATTCCTCTGATACCTTCCCTCTGATTACTATGAGCTTTCCCATTCTTCTTGAAAAAAGGGGCCGGGCGGTGGTGGCGCACGCCTTTAATCCCAGCACTCGGGAGGCAGAGCCAGGCGGATCTCTGTGAGTTCGAGGCCAGCCTGGACTACCGAGTGAGTTCCAGGAAAGGCGCAAAGCTACACAGAGAAACCCTGTCTCAAAAAACCAAAAAAAAAAAAAAAAAAAAAAAAAAAAAAAAAAAAAAAAAAAAAAAAAAAAAAGAAAAAAGGGAAAACTTGGAGCCCAGGAGGCACGAAAAATCAGGGCGTGCTAGGTCTGAAGATGGCCTTCTCTGGGGCTTCAGTTTGGTTTAAATGCTTAGTCAGTAAACACTCTGTAAAGAGCCAGGCAGAAAATCCTTCAGCTTTGCAGGCCAGATGTCTCTACAGCGAGGACTCAGCTCTGCCCCTGAGCATGAACACATCACAAACAACAGTACGCCAGTGAATATGCCTACGTTCCAGCAGAACTGTGAGTTCGAAGTCATCTTCAGGTCATGACTATGCCTCTTTGGATTTTCCCCTAACCACCCGTTAAAGATGGCGACACTGGGCTGGGGAGACGGTTCAGCCGTTAGGCACTTGCCACATCAGCACGAGGACCAAAGTTGGGATCCCTAGATCCCATGGAAAAATGCTCAGGGGGTGCAGCTGCTCCCCTATAGTTCTAGCCTCAGAAGGTAGAAGGTGAACTCAGGTGATCCCCAGAGGAGGGCAGTGAGGCAACCTAGCTGAAGAAGCAAGCTAAGGGTTGACTGAGAGAGCCTGTCTCAATGAATCAGGTGGAAGAGCTAGTGAGGGAGATTCCTGTCATCAACCTGGGGCTTCCATGTAGGTGCTCATGCACATGCATGCACTCCCACATACTTGTGTGCCCACACATATTCAAACATACACACATGTAGACAACATGCACATGCAAAAATGGGAGGGGGGTGGACGACGACAATGTATCTCCCAAATGAAGGTGGCCACACCATTCTCAGTACACGGGCTGTTCATAGACAGTGTCCATTCACGTACTGTCGTCACGGCTCATGACAAGAGAGGGTATAGAGTTTGGGGCCAGGCTTGAGTTTGTAGCCCTGACTCAAATGTGCCATAAAGTCACATCTTTATGAAGCTGGCCTGTCTTGCTCAATGCACAGATTCAGGTACATCTGTGTGCAGAGTATTCCCGAATCCTTCTATTCATTCGATGTGGATTCAGCTCACACCACCCTGATCCAGGCTCCAGGGGTTCAAAGACTGCACCTTCACATTCCCACCCATCCACCTGCTCTCTCCCTTGGTTTGTGAACTCAGGTAATAGGGCTCTATGTGAGGAAAAGGATTAGATCTTAGCTCTACTTCAGGGCCTGCCCCAGAGCTATGGGCTCCTTCTAGAAGGAGAAGTTCTTCTCCGCAGAGAGGCCTGTTTTGCACTTACATGTCCAGGCATGTGCATGTCCTGACAAATGTACCATGTGATCAGAGCATCGTCCTTCATCAAAATCTCCCAGGTGATGCTCCTTTTATGGCCTATGGTACCTATGTCTGTTCCTACTGTATCTTTCATGGCTGCTGTGGGGGGTTCCCTGCATGTGTGAAGGCCAGCAGGGAAATGATTCAGATGAGGTGAGAATTAAATTCGGGATTAGCCAGACTTTAGTTAGCCAGTGCTGGGTCAAAACTCCGGGAGTCTGACACCAGGCGGTTTATTTTTTACACATTTAAACAGGTGAGACTGGAAAAAAGTTTCCTTGTGATAATTATCACAACAAAGCTTTAGGCATGGCTACATAGAGACTCTCAGTGCAGGTCTTTAGCAAAGCATTTGTGACTTTTCCCACAAGAATGGGCTCTACTGACTGAGGAACAGTGCTCAGGATAAGGGCCTCAGGAAGAACAGTTTGTAATAAGCACAATAGCAAACTCTTTTTGCACAGTACGTGGGACTTCTTTCACGAGGGTGAGTTCTGTTGACTGAGAAACAATGCTCAGGATGCTGGGGGATTCGGTGAGGACTGGCTTTACAGACTAGCAAAGATTACCAGGTATTAACACATCCATTCCCAGCCTTCTGGATGGAAAACAGCTGTCAGTATCTTCTGCTGAAGAAAAAGCCTGCGTGTTTAACAATTCTGGTTTCTCTAGTGCTCATCTGTGAGCTTGCACCCTCTGCAGGCTGCCTCTATCTATCCTTTATCCACTTGTAACTCCCTTAGTGTTACCCTCATCCCTGCTTCTTACTTAGGTAGAAGTTTTGCCCATAATAGACTTCTGCTGTTTGCCTTACTTATTCCTGCCGATATTTTACAACTCACCTCCAGCATCACCTCCTTGGAGGAAAAAGCCTACACTGAGGTTTGCCATATTCCCAGACTGGGCCAAGTCTGGTTAGAAGGCTCTAAGCAGCTGGATGGCATCTGGTTGCTCACCATGGCATTGTTACCCCCAGGACAGAGCCTATAGCAGCTCCAGATAAACACTTGTCACAGGAATGAACAGAAGTGCTAGGAACATTTAAGAGGCAATTGACCATAACCTCCTTCCCTGCCCTGCCCAATGGCCCCTGCACAGGGATGCCCTTACCGGTTTGTGGATCCATTATAGCAGTAGTTGGGGAGGAAGTCAAAGTTCAGCTCCCAGAAGACATGCAGGGTGATGCGGCCATACGGGGCAGACACATTATGATTGGCTTCTCGGAACATGGCGTCGAAGCTGTCCAGTGTCATGTGCTTACAGAGGAGTCGGTGCGTGAGGCGGTTAATCTCCAGCAGCCACTCTAGCTCCTGACAGAGAGAGAACCCGAGGCTGTAAAAGCAGTGCAGGTCACACACACACACACACACACACACACACACACACACACACACACACACACACACACACGCTGCACATTTCTTACGTCTTGGGAGACCCCCCTCAGACAACCTCTGGATCTCCCATATAAGGACTAGAACTCCCTGCAGTGGCACAGGACAATGTCCCCTTCTTCTGAAACTCTTGGGACAGGAACCTGGAAGATCTCTGACCATCTGCAGCCATGTCTATGTGCTTTCTGGTTTCCTAATCGCTGAGGGAAAAGCCTGTCTCTTAGTGTCAGCGTCATATGTGATACTGTGACTACATTTCAATAGAGGTTATTTCTCTGTCCCGCAGAAAATGCTAAATAGGAGCTACCCCCTACTTAGGGCTAATTATTCAGCTGGAATATGACATTTCTAAGTTTTTTAGATCAACCATCATCAAATTTTAGCAGTGTTGTATGGTTTAGCATAATTAGTACATTCTAATTATATATATTTCAGTATTGCGCTGTAGTCCTTATACATGTGAAAATTTGGGTTTTGAGAAGATGAGTAACTTGCATTCAGATCTAGGAACTGGGCTCCAAGGTAACATTCTTAAGCACGGTCAAAATCATTGGAAGCCGGGAGGTGGTGGTGCATGCCTTTAATCCCAGCTCTCAGGAGGCAGAGGGAGGTGGATCTCTGTGAGTTCGAGGCCAGCCTGGTCTACAGAGTGAGTTCCAGGGTAGCCAAGGCAGAAAAACCCTGTCTTAAGAAAACAAAACAAAAAAAATTACCATTGGAATTTTTAAAGGAGGTGTGTGTGTGTGTGTGTGTGTGTGTGTGTGTGTGTGTGTGTGTGTGTGTGTTTTTAGGGATAGAATGCCTCCTATTTTGGACTGCAGGTCCTGAGTCACCCAAGGCACCTGTAGTCTGTACTCAGCCCCAATGACCAGGAACTTGTGTGTGCCATAGGCTCTGATCATTTGGAGTCCCAGCTTCAGGCAGAGGGCAAGCTCAGAGTTCAGGTTTGCAGAGTGGGATGCTGTGTTGGTTGGGTAATAAAATGACGAGGAAACTCTTCTGCTTAGGTTTCATATCTTGTTGTTCTGCAACTTGTCAATCATGATTATCCAAAAGAACCAAAGTCCAAATAGGGAGAAGAAAGCTCAAGTTCTGGGACACCTGAGGCCACTCTGGCCATGCTTTGGTGAAGCCAGCTTTACAGAGTGGCACCATTCTTCCTGTTACAGAGGGGAGAATCAGAAGCTGAGAAGGCCAAGAACATGCCCAAGGCTACACAAAGACTATTAAAAAAGTGCTTGGGATGGCATTCTGGGTCTTTGGATTCCAAATCATGAGTCCTTGATCTCTTTGATACAGCTGCCTAGAGAGATGCAAGAGGTTGGAGGTCCTTTGAAAGGGGAATGTGATATAAAGCCAGTCTGTATATTCTAAAACCATATTGGGATGGCAGGGGCCAGCTTTCCCAGGGAGCTCAGTGAGTCACTGGCCACAAAGATGTGGCTCCCTTCTCACCAGCCACACCCCCCTGACCTGACAAGTCCACTTTGGTAGGGTGAAAGCCTCAGCCCACACTTCGGAGCCTGCAGCTTGTGCTCTGGAATCAGATTGTATGGCTGTAAAGTGGGGACGCAGCTTAAAAACTGCAAACACTAATGGCAACGGGGCCAGACAGGCCAAGAACAGGAGACTAACTGGGAAGGAAAAGGCAGTCTTAGAGGATGGGTTATCTGTGCAGAGTGGAGAACCCATCGTACAGGGCCCAGAGGATGGGTTATCTGTGCAGAGTGGAGAACCCATCGTACAGGGCCCAGAGGATGGGTTATCTGTGCAGAGTGGAGAACCCATCGTACCGGGCCCAGAGGATGGGTTATCTGTGCAGAGTGGAGAACCCATCGTACGGGGCCCAGAGGATGGGTTATCTGTGCAGAGTGGAGAACCCATCGTACGGGGCCCAGAGGATGGGTTATCTGTGCAGAGTGGAGAACCCATCATACAGGGCCCAGAGGATGGGTTATCTGTGCAGAGTGGAGAACCCATCATACAGGGCCCAGAGGATGGGTTATCTGTGCAGAGTGGAGAACCCATCGTACGGGGCCCAGAGGATGGGTTATCTGTGCAGAGTGGAGAACCCATCATACAGGGCCCAGAGGATGGGTTATCTGTGCAGAGTGGAGAACCCATCATACAGGGCCCAGAGGATGGGTTATCTGTGCAGAGTGGAGAACCCATCATACAGGGCCCAGAGGATGGGTTATCTGTGCAGAGTGGAGAACCCATCGTACAGGGCCCAGAGGATGGGTTATCTGTGCAGAGTGGAGAACCTATCATACAGGGCCAGACCTGGTACTTTGACATTCTCTGGTTGTTGCCATGCTACAACAGACTAGGGATGGCAGACCCTACGTATTCCAAAAGAATGCGAAAACTTGGACTTCAAGCATGGAATGGAAGTTAGGAAAAATGTTCCTGGCCTCTGTACCAAGAAGAAAATGAAGGTCAGAGATACAGACTCAGCTCTCTGCTTCCATCTCTTGGGGCGGAGCTGGCTCCTGTATCTCTGTTCCCATTTGCTGTGGATGGGTAACGTGGCAACAGATGTTACAGGTAACTGCTAATGACTTCATTTTTAAGGTCACTGAGCCCTTTTAGCACACTGCTTGGGCTACCCCGTTTGGGGGAAGATAATGAGAGCTGGGGAACAGGCTTGTCCTATGGCTCTAAGATTTTAAGTTTCATACACTTGTGTTAGTGTTAAAAGGATGGACATAAGGAGACAGTACTCAACTCTGCTCATGTTGGGATTGTGACACAAAAGCAAAATGGGAAAATAAAACAGCCAAATGGGCAGCGTTGAGGAACCAGTGGACGGAGAGTGGGAATGAGGAGAAAACGGGGCTAGCCACACTAGAGCGACCATTGGAGGTCAGGGAGATGCCAGTAGACTTCTGAGAATTAAACACAGCAGGGGCTAGTGGGTCAGGAGGTGGGCCTGTGATGCTGGCTGCAGGTTCAGGGGAGCTGGGCCGGTTTACACGAGTCCGCAGTCAGAGCTGGGAGATGGCTGCCATCTGGGAATGCTAGTCTGGTGCTGTCAGAGGTTCCGGAATCAAGATTTCAAGTACACCAGTAGCCAAAACAAAGCATAGCCCACAGCCTGCCAGCCTGTAGCATCTCGCTGAGATTCCATGCTCAGCACGTTTGCACAACAAGGTGACGGACTCCCCAAGTCACAGCAGGGCCTATCTCTTCACACACAGTGACTTCACACACATTTTCCAAGAGTTTTGAATGTGGAGGGCAAGGGCACATTCCTCGGTTTGTTTCTGTCATTGCTGGGAGGCAGAAGCTGCTTTAGCAAAGGCCCACAGGAACCATGCCTACCCCCCAGGAGAGAGGCTCCCTAGGGGATCCTTCCTAGGCCTCACGGAAGAGGATGTTCTGGGTGGGGATCACGGCCTCGTCTGATTAACAAGGGCTTTCACTGAGTGTTTTCGTTTTGTTCTAGCCAAGAGAACATCCAGTATCTTCCAGGCAGTGGGAAGTGGCCATGGACACCTGCCTCCCAGACATGCTCATTAGTAGAAAACAAAAATATACAGATGGACAAGAGAAGGAACTCCAACTCCTACCTCTTGAGAGATAAGCACTGAGGACATTTGAATGTGTACAAAACAGAACTACATCTCCCAAGATAAAGGTGGCTAAGTGATTTCAGGAATGTGAACTATTCTACGATTTTTCATAAGTGACTCAAGATTTAGGTGAGTAAGTGGGACACATCCTGCTAAGAGATGGTGTAGATAGTCCCTCCTCCCCCCACTCTCAGAGAACACTGTAACCCCATAGTGATTTTTCTCTTAAAAATAATAAGCTATTACTTATTAAGTGTTTATCAAGTGCTGGTCCCTCCTGTGGCCTTCCAATGACTCTAATATCTCCTTCACTTTAGAGGTGGGGATTCGTGAAGATACAGAACTTGCCCAAGATCACAGAGCTAGTAACTGTCAGGGACGGGACTGGGCTAAGTCTGTCTGAGCCTGGTGACCTAGTTCAATGCCCTTTATGCTATCTCTTGGAGAAACAATTGGCAGGGGGCAATTCCAACTGCTGTTTTCTAGAAGGGGACAGGTTATTCCTGACTGTGCAACAGGGACAGATGCAAAATGAAAATGCAGGGTCGTGTTCAAAACCGTTCACCATTTCATGATGAGGACACAGCAGAACAAGCAGCCAGCTGCAGAGCCCTTTCAGGCCCTCAGCTACAGCATGCCCTTCAAGTGACCTTGTGCTACTTTCTCTAGCCTATGGGGACTCTGTCTGCTTGCGCTATTCTGTAGAGCCTAAGGACACAGCCAAACAGGGATGCTCTGATCACAAAGATACTCTCCTCCATGCCCCAGACCTGCCTGCCAGTCCATAAGGATGGTAAAATCATTTCCGTTCTATTCACTTCCCCCCCACCCTCCAGCCACTCTGGTCAGGTGTGAAAGAAATCCCCTGCTACAACCATTTCCAACTAGGCATCAATCTGAGACATCCCTGAGAGGAAAGCCTACAGGCCCCCAGTGTCTTACCACAATCGAAGTCAGATCTTCACTCTCAAAGCGGCTGATGGCCTGGTCCAAGGATTTGTACATGGCAGCAGAAATCCGCTGGGTGATGAGTCTGTTCAAGTCAATTGATCTACCCAATAGCTGAAAGGCAGAGGGCAGTGGGGGGGGGGGCGGTTACTTAACATCTACACAGATGTCTGACAACTCAATACGGTGTACTGATGGGAAACTGTACTAGAATTCTAAAGAGCATTAATGGGACAAGAGCTGACTATATGTAGACTGTTGATGGCATCATGAAATCTCTTCAAATGGTCATTCTATGTAACTTATCAATCTTTGTGTATATTATATGTATGTACGGTATATGTATAATGGGTATACATGCTTGTGGGAGTGTGGACATGAGCATGTCACAGCATGAATGTGGAGGGGAGAGGAACTGTGGGTGTTGGTCCTCACCCTGCACTGTGTTTCAGGGCAGGGTCTCTTGTTAGCTGCTTGAGTATGCCCGGGTAGCAGGCCCTCAACCTTCTGAAGACTTGTCCATCTCCAGTCTTACTGTGACAGTGCTGGAATTATAGATGCAAGCGACTGTATCTGGCTTTGCACTGGGGATCTGAACGCAGGCCCTCACTCCTCTGAGCCATCTCCCCAGACCTTTTGTTTTGATTTTATAGGAGAATGTCTTTGTCCTTAGGTAATACTGGCTGAGATGCGCATGGTGAAATATCCTGACAACTGCAATTACTCATAAAAATTTTAAAGAAAATGTATGTGTAGTAACACATGCGCATCCTTTATACACACGATCACCGTAACGTTTGTGAGAGAAGATACACACACGAGAAAGAAAAAACCGAACTCAATATAGTGAAACACTTATCGCCATGAATCTGGCTAGACTGGAGACAGTTGTGCACCTTCCTATTCTGACTTCTCCGAAGGCTTTACATAAAACCTACTGAGGTAAAATACAACTTATTCAGGCTGTGGGAAGAGGTTTGGGGGCAAGCTCCGACCTCCGGTAAATGCTTCTGCTGACACCCTAGATTCAACCCTGAGGTTCATCCTGTGTCTTCCTGTGTTTGATTCAGAGTTTCCAGGGAGCGGTAGCCACCTGAGCAGTGGCCTACTTTGTGTCCTCATGGGAGCGATTTTAAAAGCAAGCATACAAAGAGCTGATTAAAGGGCGGGAAAATATAGCTTAAGATAATTTCCACTGGGACCCACATGGGTATTATTGCAGATGTTATGAAGACAACAGCAACCATTTACTGAGTACCTGCTGTGTTGCTATGTTTCGCTAGGTGCTAAGTGATTCCTCTTAAGTATTACCTATCATAGGATAAATTTCCTCCTAGCAGATCAAGGTCCCACAAGGGGGTCCTGTGGCTGGTTCTGGTGGCATTGCAACCGGTAATGCTCGTCTACTGAGCCTTGTTTTTTTCTCTCCTGGGACTGGACACTGGCCATGGATGTCCAGGGCTTTCAACAGACTCTTTACTGTTCCTCTCAGCATCTTCTTGGCCTCAGCTCTGTTCCGTCACAGAGACGAAGGACCACAAAACCACCACACAGGGATCACGGCACACAGGCTGGTTTGCTACCTGTTTGGCCACCAGCGGGGAGGGCTTGGGGGTCTGTGGTGGTACATGTTGTGCCTTTCTAGCTCAGATTAGCATTTTACAGAGATGGGTGTCCTTGTCCCCAGCAAGTGTTTCCCCCATGTCTGGGGACAAATGTTAACAGAAACCACGGCATAAAAACAAACCAGTTTTGACCTCTCACTTAGCTCGATGCAGTTCATTTAAAGGGGTTGCAGCCCTTTTTGTTTATTTCAGGGGTGGGTCTACCTGTCCCTGTGTGATAGTGGTGATGAAGAAAGGGGTCTACTCAGGATGGCAGACCATGGTGGTCACTGCTTCTCAGGGGCTGGCAGAGAGGAGCCCGGAAGTCTACAACCTGCACCAAAGGATGCTCACTATTGTGTGTAAGGTTCTGAGGCTGCTACATCTGGGTGCAGACCTAAGGCAAGTCCAGGCTATCTCCAGAGTCTATTCCTCCCATCCCTCCCCATTATGGCTTTCTCCCACCGTACCTGGACATGTCTCTGTTTTAGCAGCGTCTCATAGCGGTTGGATGGTGGGTACGGAATGATCACTCCGTAATTCTTACATTCAGCTCTAAAACGTTTATCCAACAGGACACTAGAAGGGAGCAACATGAAACAGGTTCGCTGAACATGGTGGCAAATGGTTTCTCAACAGCTCAGCCACCTCTATGCCAGACCACGGGGTCCACCCAGGAAACATGATCTTAAATATCTCAAACATAACTGTTTGATATCTGCTCTGGACACGATTCCCTGCATTTCTTTCTGGCCATAGGAGCTCAATATGCGAAATGGAATTTCTAAGTTAAAGACTGGCAACCCAGGGTGGAGACCATCATTCTTTTCTTCACTTATGACAAAAACAACTGAGTGTGTCCTTAGTATATTCCAGTGATAATTCTAGGTACCAGGGACAACAAGGTCCTTCCTGTCCTCAGTGTACTGACTTTCCAGTGGATAGACTGATAGAGCAAGCAAAATGATAGAGGAAACAAAATGATTTGAAATAGGAATCATGTGCAGTGTTTACCATTGACTGGATAACACATACCTACATACATAAATGTATACACACAAACTCATATATACACATCACATACAGATACAAACACACACACATTCATGCACATGGACACACACACACATGCCCATATATGCATACACATATGGTTATTTTCAGTGTCACAGCAATCATGTGTACTATTTTTATCCTCCACATTGAGATCAATAAAACAGGTTCATTTGGAGTTAGGAATTATGGGAAGTCTCTGCATGGGGGTTTTATGGGGCAGAAGATGAATGGAAATGATAAGGCCAGGGTAAGGTTATTGTACACAAAATAAGCTTGGTCTATTTGAGAGAAGGAAAGTCAGTCGGGGTGGATAAAGGGAAGAAGGTTTTTGGGAAAACAGGTTCATTACATCAGTCTACAGGCCAGATCTTGTGGGACCACAGAACCCTTATAGAGAGGTAGGATGGATAGATAAACTGGAAGCCATTTAAAGGTTTTAAGTGGGAAAGAGACATATTTAAACTTGCACTGTACAAAGTAGCAGCCACCAGCCACAGTGCCTATGGAATGCCTTAAATGAGACAGGCCCAAACTGAGGTTCACTGCCATATACACATGAGATTTACGAGGCCTTGGAGAAAACAGAGATATCTCTTTAATAATATTTACACTGATTCCATGTTGAAATTTTAGTGGCTTCTGCTTGCTGAATTAAATAAAACATATTATTAAAATGTCAGCTGTTTCTTTCCCTCATTAAAATACGGCTGCTAAAATACTGAAGAGGGCATAGGTTGCTCCCATTTGTGGCAGTGTTTTATTTCAGATGGATGGGATTGGTCTGTGCTACCCTTTCTGCCTAGAGCTTTCTCTCAATTTCCCAGCTTCTTCCAATTTCCACCCCTTTGAAAAAGCTCACACCTTGCAGGGAAAGTTGTTGAGGGCTATTTTTCTCTTCTCTTCTTCTTTTCTTTTCTTTTTGGTTTTTTTGAGACAGGGTTTCTCTGTATAGTTTTGGTGCCTGTCCTGGATCTTGCTCTGTAGAACAGGCTGGCCTCGAACTCAGAGAGATCCACCTGGCTCTACCTCCCAAGTGCTGGGATTAAAGGCGTGCATCACCACTGCCCAGGTGAGGGCTATTTTTCAAATGGGGATATATATTTTTAAAAATGAATTTTTATCTCTGTTACACACACACACACACACACACACACACACACACACACACACACACACACACACGCATACGTGCCTGTGAAAGCCAAAACCGGGCAATGGATCGACCTGGAGTTACTGGTGGTTGTGAACTATTTGATGTGGGTACTGGGAATTGAACTCGGGCCCTCTGGAAGAGCATCAAGAGCTCTTAACCACTGAGCCATCTCTCCAGCTCCCAAGATGAGGAAAATTTACTAAGTGTAGAGAGTCCTCAGGAGGTGACATGCCTGAACTTGTTTACACAGACAATATCAGTATATTCAGGACCAGCATTGTCTTAGAAATGCTGCCCTCCCTGCTGAAACTGCATCCTACCTGATCTGCCCACACCTATGGAGCAACAACTTAGCGATGGATGTATCTTTGTGCTTTCTCTCTGCTTATCGTTTAGAAGTCATTCCCTTTAGTCAGTGCATATCCTGTGTAATCATCTCGTGTGCATTGCATGTCAGCTCCTATCTGAAACGGGTCAAGCCTGTCAGAGGAGAATGGAGCCAATCACTTCCATGGGGTGCGGGGGGTGGGGAGCAACTGAGCTAGGGACTTGCTCTTGGGATTGCTGATTAGTCCATCCGGACTTCCATCGAGAACCGCCCGGCCCATTGCACGTTTTTTAAAACCCAGGAATTCATTAGGGACGGGGTGGGGGGAGCGGGGGTGTGAGTTAAATCAGTATCTTCCAGGAAATACCGATACGCCTAAAAACCTGACGCATCTCCAACTCAAACTTCTCCACACGCCCATCCTTACACACTTTAAATACATTCTCTGTGGATTTATACTTTCAAAGAGTGAAGTTGAAAAATAAAAATCAAGTCAAGCTGTGCTTCTGAAACCATTTCGTGGCAGTATATCCCTCTCCAGGATCTTCAAGGTTTATGGTGCCAGGGCACGCAACCCGCCCTCTAGTGGCCTGGATGAGCCACTGCCATGGAGTAACTAAAGCTTCTCAGCTGCCAGGTGAAGGCATGCAAGCTATTATTTTTGTACTTCCCCCACCAAGGCTTTGACAAGAAGTTCCCTTTGCCTGCACACTCTGGACCCTTCCTTCACTTTGTTTTACTTAACTCCCTAGACACTGCTTCCTTAAGATGGCCTCGACCAGCTCAGGTTTACCATGTATTCATGAACTTCCTTCATTACTTTCCTTCTGTTGAACTGTAGACCTCATGGAGTATTTGGACACTACCTACCTATTCTCCTTTACAATGTGTTTCAATGCCTGGACCCATGGAAAGTGCTTGATTTTCCTGAAGTTCTGAACAAGGGAGGAGAGGGAATCCCGTCTTCCAGGCACCAGGCTGATTAAAGGATGCTACGTACAGCCTAGGCTCCCCTACCTGCCGGCCATGGCTTTGTAGTAGGCAAAGATCTGGTCTGCCAGCTTGTAGACAAACTGATCAAAACACAGGTTCACCTGGTGAAGAGAAAACAGGGAGGTCAGTGGTTCCTGTCTGGATTAATCGCAGAAATGCGGACAGTTGGGCGGGCTCTGGGGCAGGTTGACTGAAGTGCATTCTGGGGCAGCAGGCTGGCTTTGAGAGAGGTAAAGAAGCAAGCACCTGTGGCCTTGCAGAGGCCAGGAGTTTGGCCCTTCGCTTTCAATGTCTTCAGTTAGTTACTGGCAGAGCCAAAGTTCAAAAGGGCCCCAGGAACCAGTCCCCCACTGCTCCCGATTGGTCAGGAAACGCAAAGGAAATCGCCCCCTCTCAGGTCCTGATTACCCCTAGCAGCCCGCTAACCCGAAGACTTTGTCTCCTCCTTGTATTTGATTTTCCTTGCTCTGCAGAGTTAATTTTGAGAATGTCCTTAGAAACAGAAATGTCCCTTTCTTCAAGTTTTCCTTAAAATCTGTCTGGTTTTTAATGTACAAAGTCTTGCACGACAGTGTTTCATGATATCACAGGAGACTATGAAGTTCGGAAGGAGGGCAAGGTCACACCTGACATGGAACATCAGAGCCACATCTTCCATTAATGACCAGAGAAAAAAGTGGCCAAAGTGGGACTTGAAAGAGACCGGGCTCTGGCAACAGCAGAGCATGAGACAGAGCGAAAGGAAGGGATCAATCTTTGATTCCTCTCGGAAGATGATGTCTTTATTTAAAGGTTTCTGTACCTATTATTTGACACCCACTATATTACACAGAGCAAAACCCACAGTGGGTGCTGTGCATGGTACCGGCTTTACACCCATGGTGCTGGCCTCATACCCAGGTACCGGAGGCCTCCTGCCTGGGCCTCTGAACTTCATGATCCTCTAGAGATAAGGAATCTACGGGGTCAGAGTAGGAGTGTTCATTTAGACCCCATGTCCCCTTTCTAGAACCAACTCTGAATTCTTGCCCAGATATTCCCAGCCCATTCAGAGGCCTCAGGGTCTTTCCCAGAGCTCACGACCTGCCTCTGGAGTAGTTTGATGGCATCATTTGCAAGCCAAAGTGTATATGCACGTGAAGGTCCTTGAAACCCCTCATGGTGTATAGCAGAGACTAGGGATTTGGAGAGAAAGGAGTGGACCGTTGTACACTCTTATGTGTGACAGCTGCAGCAATCATGAATATTGGTCCCTGGAGTCACTGACATCCCCCCAGCTGCGAAGCACTGGACAAGCCCAGCATCTTGAGAGACTACAGGAATGAAGGAAGTGCGTCACTTGCCTCGGCTTCAATCTCGTCATAGAGGAACTGCTTTTTGAACTTGGTGAGAGCATAGTAGGCACTGTCGTTGTACAGATCCAAGGGGTAGAGGACATACCTGGGAGGGAATACAAGTGTCATGGGGGGCGAGGTACACTGGCCTGGAAAACAGGAGGCATGGGCCATGAGGCCAATGGCTTGGAGTTGAAGACAACTTTCCGCCCCTCCCCCTGTTCCCAGTGCCTCCCTTTAGGAAGGACTTGCTCTCCAATCTGCACACAGATATTAGAGGCCCATGATGCTAATGAATCCCCTGGTCTGAAAATAGCCTAGGATAGCACTTCTTGGTTCCTAGAGATTATAATTTCCCCAGCATGGCTGCTAGGAGATGGACAAAGGTACGAAGGGCAGGTGGGATGAGGCCTTGGGGCGGAGTACGATGCCTCATCTCTATTCAGCAGCTTCTACAAAAGAGGTCAGTGGCAAGCCCTCCTCCCACTCAGCCCCAGGAGCTCCCTGGTTGGCCCAATCCTGCCTCTTACTCCATCATGGAAGGCTCTTTGGTTTCCAGGATATGGTCCGTTAGAATCCAGGGCATGGACATCTCAATGGGGAACTGGATGCGCCGGCCCATGGTTAACTCCAGGAAGAACTCTCGGAACCAGAGCTGGGAGAGGTCACAGCACTGTTGTAGGGCTTCTGGAAGTACAGGGAGAGAGCGAGCCTTGACTAATGAGAAAGCGCTCACACGTCACAGCGTTGGCTGTCCATTGGCTGTCACTGCTACTGACGTCAGCGTGCTAGGTGCATGGCAGGCATGTCATCTTCAGCCCTTCCCTGATCTTGCTGTCTTGAGCCTGAAGCCAGCTTAGTAGCATCTGTGGTGAATGGCATCTGCCAGCTTCTGGGACAGGGCAAGTTATGGGGGAGGGGGTGGTGATGTTTCAAACATTTGTCTTCCCCCATTTCCACTAAACCCCCCCAGAGCCATCCTACAGAAGTGTGATTTACATACAAACAGTGTTTTTAGAACACATCCATCAGTGCTCACTTTCAAGGAAGCTTGGCTCCCTCATCTCCTGTGTGTGGTAATTCTGGATCCCTTACTGTTTGGAGGTCTTGAAAGCCCAACTTAGGTCATTCTCTAATGGAGAAGCCTGGACTGTTTTTCACAGGTGCACTGAGACTCCCATGTCACTGGGGTCCTACTTGTCTTTACCCTGCTCCATCCAACCTCTCAGAGAAGAGGAAGAAGAGGGCACAGGACTGAGGTGCAGCCTGGAAACCTCTCCAGCGAGGAGCAATGGGTACAACAGAGTTTATAGCCATTCTGGTCAACAAAAGGCTGATCCAGAGCACACTGGGCTACAGGTGTGCATCCTTGATGATTCTCTCTCCTAACTACCCACAGGCTGATCCGGTGCACACTGGCTACAGATGTGTATTCCTGTATGATTCCCCCTCCTAACTAGCTCCAGGCTGATTCGGTGAACACTGGCTACAGATGTGTATTCCTGTATGATTCCCCCTCCTAACTACCCACAGGCTGATCCGGTGCACGCATCCTTGTTTGATTACCCCTCTGTTGTTTGTTGTTTCTTTGGCTCTTCTGTGGGGCCCGCCACCCAGCTCCCCAATAAATTAAACACAGAGGCGTATGCTTACCTATAAATGCCCGGCCTTAACTTGACTTATTTCCTAGCCAGCTTTCCTTAACTTATCCTGTCTACCTTTTGCCTCTCAGCTTTCTTATTCTCTTACTTCTGTAAATCTTACTCTTACTCCATGGCTGGCTGGGTGGCTGGGTGGCTGGGTGGCTGGGTGGCTGGGTGGCTGGCCCCTGAACTCCTCCTCCTTCTCTGGCTCCGTGATCTCTTCACTCCATCACTTTTCTTCCTTCTATTTATCTTCTCTGCCTGCCAGCCCCACCTATCCTTTCTCCTGCCTTGCTATTGGCCATTCAGCTCTTTATTAGCCCATCAGGTGTTTTAGACAGGCAAGGTAACCCAGCTTCACAGAGTTAAACAAATGCAACATAAACAAAAGTACCGCACCTTAAAACAATATTCCAATACACCCCTCCTAACTAGCCCCAGGGTGATCTGATGCACACTGGCTACAGATGTGTATTCCTGTATGATTCCCCTTCTACTAGCCATGACTGTCTACCAGACAAATTCATTTGGTCAGAACAGGTGCAACAGAGCCTGGCCTTTCCTACCTCCCAAGTTTTCCTTTTTGTTGTTTTTAAAGAATTCTTTTGCCCCTGGGAGCAAAATGTGCCTCCCCTGTGGCTCATGATTCTGTCTCTCTACAACTTCCAGCCCTACCGCCTCGGTTGCCCTGGGAGATGGCTGGCCCTCTTCTTGCAGAGGCTTACCGCTGATGTTGAGTAAGTGTGTGAAGAAGAAGGACTGCTTGTGGAAGTCCTCTATGGCGAGGACGATGGGTCCGTCCAGGCTGCTTCGGAGTGTCTTCTTGGAACCGCTCTTGTCGGCGATGAGCGACTCCAGCATGGTACGGACCATGTAGAGCTTGAAAAGAAGGGGAGAGAAGGTCAGGGTGGCCCTCCATGCTGAGGGAGAAGCTGCCTTCCCTTCCTACCTCCCTTGTTCTTTTCTCTACTCTTAGAGAGAACTGCCTTAAGGGAGCACTGATTTAGGCAGAGAACCGGATATGGAGCTCTGGAAACCTGCTCTCTCCTTGCTGTTCTGGGACCCAGCACATGCCAGGCAAGCATTCCATCACTGAGCTTGCCACCCGCCCTTGCAAAAACCTCCGAGAGGCAGACTAACCAGCTTTGGAACGTTCTCTGCCTGGGCCCACAGTGCCCCTAGGTGGATCTGACAATGGCAGGAAGTTAAGGCCCATGAAAGGTTCCTGCCTGCCCTGCTTAACCAAGGGTATGGGCATCCATGTCACGCTACAGTCACTCTCTGATTTCCCAGATGACCATGGTAACCGCATGGATGGGGCACTGAACCAGGAATCAAAAGAGCCAGGTTCAAAGCCAGGCACTGCCATTGACTTGCTGTGTGACCTTAGACGACAAAAGCCTCCACTCTGGGCTCCAGTTGCCTGAATCTAACAGGAGGAATTGGACCAGATAAGTTCTCAACGCAGTCTTCTCAGCTCTAACATTCGGAGGAGTTATGCCACAGCTAAAGCTCAAAACAGTACCCCCTCCCCGCCACCACCTTGTTTCTGATCCTCAGTGTTTTGAACCTGTCAATGAATGCTGGCGCCCTCTGGTGGCTTGGGCTGCATTTCACAGCCTTCCAAAGATTCTGGGTGGAATGCAAGTTAACATCCATACTTACACAGGGGGCTACAAGACACTCAACTCCTGCTAACAGAGTGCCCTACATGCAAAGGGCCCACGGGCAGCAGGGTTGTTCTTTCTGCTAATCTAGGTTTTTTTTTTCACACCATTTGTCTTTGAGTCTGAGGATTGGAAAGGGCCTTGAAGCCAGGCTAGTCTGTTCCTGCGGCCTCCCGCAGTAGGCACCCAAACCAACCCAGCCAGGCGGTGTTATACCAGGGATCGGCAGCCTCTTCGGCCCTGTGTGCCACCAGTGGGGTGAAACAAAGCCCTCGGGGACCACTGGCAGGCCTAAGACATAGATAGGAGAGAAGGAAGAGGGAATGGGAGGGCAGGAGAGACAGGGAGGAGGGAGAGAGAGAAAGAGAGAGAGAGAAAAGCGAGAGGTATTGTATACAGTGGGAAAGCCACCAACAACTGCAGGGGCCACACGTGACACGCTCCTCCGACCTCCCAGCAACCACGCTACGCTCTGCTGCTTCTGGATGGGCCCGAGGGTCTCACCCACCGTGGGCCTGGCAGTCACAGGTCTGCATGCCGTGACACCCAGTGCAGGGTCCCCTCCGTGGGGAAGGGATGACCACTGTGGCTGGTTTCCTAGACAGTCCACCCTCTATGAACCTGTCAGTAGGCCTGTCTCCCTCTCTATCGGAGTACAGTGCTAACAATGAGCTCCCCCAAAGAAAGGGGGCTGTGGTGACTGGATTCACACCCAGCTCTAACCACTAGAAAAGTGGGGTCATTCTGAACAGTGTCAAGTCTCTAGCTAACTGTAGTAATTCAACAGGCATTTAATCCACCGGGACAGGCTACTCCGTCCGATGCCTACATCTGCTGCCTTCTGAGGGCTGCCTTGGAGCCCTAGGGTGGACATCAGGAGACCTGGGTTCTTGTCCCACCTCTACCTGGCACTCATCTTGTGACTTGGACAAGTCACTTCCCCTTTCTGGACCTCAGTTTCCCCACCTGTGATGGGGGGAGGGGTGAGTTTACCTCTCAGCACTCTTCCAGCTCTGGGGCTGTCTAGGAGTCAACTAAACATGTCTGTGCTATCAATCTACCCTAGTGGCACCTGGGGGTAGGGTTTAGCTTTTGGTAACTGACCGACTTGCAGTTTTCGAATATCCACAAAGATGTATGTCCTCTCTCTTCTGTCTTCTCAGTGTCTATAACCCCTCCATCTTTCTCTCCTTGCTTCTCTCAGATCTTGTCATCTTCATCTACCTCTCAGGACTGAGAGAAATGCCTGAGAGCCATTCAGTCACACCAGGGCACTTGGAGTTAGAAAGCTTTCTAGCCTCCAAATATTTCAGAACTATAAAGGCTTCTTTGGGGTGTTCCACATGCAGAAGACAAAGTCTGTGCACACTGGTCCCTGGAAACTGCGAGGCTAACGGAAGTGATAAGAACCCTGCCAAACACTCACCTGCCCCTGCTCAGCCCCAGCCCTGCCCAGACACGGACACACACAGAAGGAGGGGGCAGAAAGGGCCTCAGATGGCCCGCTTCAGGTGATCCAGAGCAGAGACGGGCTTGAAAGGTCCTATAAGGAGGAGCTTCCAGCTTGGGGCTTCTGGAGCCTGCAAGATCCTGACGGTTACAGTAAGATGCATCTGCTTTCAAATACCACAGAAAGGAGACCGGGAAATACCTTTTCCTACATTGGCAGTAAGGACTTAACTCCGTGATTCACTCTTTTTCCCTCCATGTAATTTTAAGACTGTCCTGGATGAACACAGACATCATCTTATTGAGGAAGTTCCAGCTGGGAACTCGGGGTATTTCTGACAACCAGACTGTCTCTAAGGGGAGGAGGCCTGCCAAGCTTGTGGGTTGTCTCTGGAAAGGGCTGGAAAAATTAGGAAAGTGTTTTGTTGGCAACATGATCTCATCCAGAGTTTTCGTTTTTTAGAAGATAAGCAGAGCTGAGAGGTTATGATGCTTGCCCAGGAACATACAGCAAGTCAGAGGCAGAACTTGTAAGTTCCCATGCCGGGATGCCACTCTAGGCGAGGGGGCTGTGGTCACTGAAATACATAGACCGATGTTCATGGACTCCATGTTGGACCCCTCCTGCTCTGCAGAATGTGAGCTTTGCAGGGCTTGGAGATGGCTGGGTAGGCAGATACGGTGCTGCCCCCACTGCTCAGACTAGACAACTGAGGCACAGAGAGACCGTGTAACATGCCCAAGGTCACACAGGTGTCTAGGACTAGAACCCAGGTCTCCTGAATCTTAGACCAGTGGTCTTCCTTTTACATCAAAACAAGACATCAGGAAAAACCCAGAGCAGCTGCTTAGCCCTTCCCTTCCTCGCAAGGATACCCATTTCACTACCCCATGGTTCAGCATGTTGCCCTTCCTTGGTCCAACTGGCCTGGAGTCAGAGAAGCCAGGCTGCCCCAGAACCACTTACCTGTGTGCTGGATGGTCCCACAGCGCGGCGGGGGACCTTGATGTCAAAGCCGCCTTTGGGGTCCTTTTCCCCTCTTAAACATGGGTCATTGGGGGGCTCTCGGCCTCCCTCCCAGTCACAGATGGTCTTGCGAATTGCCTGCAGGACACTGGGGAAGGAGGAATGGGGACTTAGCCCAGGTGTCTGCAAGGCTGTTTCCAGGCCCCAGAATGTCTCAGTACCACCTGCATTAGAGGTCTAAGTGTTTGGGATGCACATTCATTTCTGGACCCACTCAGGGATGCTGTTAGTGGTGTTAAGGTGCTTTGAACAAGTGGCTCCTGTGGCTTTGGTGGCCATTGACTACCTAAGAACTCAGCTCTGAGCCATGTGGGGGACAGGAGCCTGCAGGACCTGGGGATGGGGAGAGTGGGAGCGAGCTACAGGAACATCTCATTAGCATCACTAACTACATGGATCAAGTTTTAAAAAGAGCTTATATTTATAGCCTGTTCCCTCTACAGCATGTGTGCTGAAGTCTACACACTGATGATCTCATTTCATCATCCCACAGCCATGGATACGGTGGGCACCACCATCCCACTTTACAAACAAGGGACTGACAGCCAGAGAACTCATTTGAATAATTCACTTTTTAGACAGCAGCAGGCTTGCGTTCAAGTTCTGCATAGAAGCTTGGCTTATCACAAATGTCCACTGCCAGAGGGTCTCTGTGTTTAAAAGCCATGCTGGAAGCTGACTGAGCTACAAGGCCCTCTTCTTCCAGCCCTGCGCCCCTCGGTTCTGCAGCACCCTGAACGGGGGCCCTCCAAGGACCCACCTGATAAGGACATTCTTTTTCTTGCGCACTGCTTGCCGCAACGGCTCGCGCAATGTCACCTGGGCGAAATCCTGCAGGGCCGCATAAATAGTGTTGCGGATGGCCTGGTTGAAGACACTCTCCATCCTTCCCATGAGCACCTGCAGGCCCTTGATCATGGCGATCACCTGGTGGGCATAGAGCAAGGGTCAGCCTAGCTATCACTTATCACCATCTGCTCACTGAACTTGGCCACGCTGCAGGGAAGGGCCACTGGAGGTACCCAGAGTGTGAGGCTAGTGCCTCTAAAACTGCCAGGGGCCCGGCGGCGGTGGCAGCGGCGCACGCCTTTAATCCCAGCACTCGGGAGGCAGAGGCAGGCGGATCTTTGTGAGTTCGAGGCCAGCCTGGTCTACAGAGCGAGTTCCAGGAAAGGCGCAAAGCTACACAGAGAAACCCTGTCTCGAAAAACCAAACCAAACCAAACCAAAACAAAACAAAACAAAAACTGTCAGGGGCATGACTAGGTAAGAAATGGTGCCAAATGCTCACAGATCAGAGCTCTGCTCTTTCCATCAGTAGTTATACTAAAGGGGAACTCCCATGCACTGTGAGTGGGCATTACGGATAAAGGATGGGGTTTTCCTGAGAAGCTAGAACTGGAAGTATCACGTGATTCAGCCATCCTACTTCTGGGTGTAACTGAGGGCAGGGAAACCAGCATGCTAACTGTTGTACTAGTCATCACAGCCAGGACAGAATCCACTGAGGTGGTCACTGGTGGTGAGTGGAGAGAGAAACTGTGGTAGATATGAACAATGCAAGACCACACAGCCATAAAGAAGAAGTTCCGCCATATGCACGACAGAACTCACCCTATTACATCGGGCACAGAACAAAACTTAAAATGTAAAAGAAAGAGGGGCTGGAGAGAGGAGAGAGAGAGAGAGAGAGAGAGAGAGAGAGAGAGAGAGAGAGAGAGAGACATCAGTTGGTGAAGTGTTTGCATTGCAAGCGTGAGACCCAAGTTCAAACACCAGAACCCACGTAAAAAAAAAAAAAAAAAAAGCGGAGCATGGTGGTGTGCTGATAGTTCCAGTATTGGAAGACAGAACAAGTTGGGTTCTTGGGGCTCAACACCTAGGTAGCCTGGTCTAATTGTCAGAGTTCTGGAAGGCCACAGCAGCCAGTAATGGAGAGGCGATGGGTCCCGTGAACAGGAGTGTGGTTGGCTAGGAGGGACCATGTCCAATGCTACATCGCAGTGGGAGAGCTGCGCTGCATAAGAAGCTGCACATCTCAGAACAGCTGCCAGAAAGGATTCTGAATGTTCACAGCAATAATAATTAGAAGGGATGGATATGCAGATTAGCTGAACCGAACTTTACAAACTGTGTCCAAAATGCTGACATGTCACAGTGGACCTCCTGCATATTTATAGCCATTTGTGTTACACAACAATAAGTGATGCTTAGAAAATGATACTGATATCTTGCTACAAAACCAAGACTGTGCTTCATGAAGCAGGTCACTGTCTTTGACTGAAAGCCCCTATCTGGATCCTTCCGTTGAACAGGAAGGAGTGAGGGAATGAGCGATGGGCTTACACCCCAGACTTGTTTCTTTCTCTAAAACGCTAAAGAAATCGAACAAAATAAGAACCCAGACACCCCCAAACAAACCACCACCAACAAAAACACTAGCAATTAGGGTGAGAAACCTGGTCAGAAGGGAGGGCTAGTCCCAGAAGGAATGGAATGCCTTTGCTGCAGTACGGTATTGTGAAGAACACGAATAAGAGAGGCATTCAAAGGTGGTCAGACTCTAAGGGATCTGGGCTCCTGGCCAGAGGGGAAATTTAAAAAACACTCAGACGGGCTAGAGAGCTGGCGCAGCAGTTAAGCGCATTAACTGCTTTTGCAGACCCAAGTTCGGTTCCCAACAACCATGTTGGGCCGTTTACAATTACTCCAGCCCAAGGGTACTTGATGCCTCTGGCCTCCTTAGACACTCACATGCTCATTCTCTCTCACACACAAACACATAATTAGAACACTGAGACAAACGGATAAAGAAGGGGTCGGAATAATTCTAAACATAGATTGGGCAAGGCTGTTGGACCTGAGGGGGAATAATCTTTGCAACTTAAGACTAGGTAAAGATTTCTTAGCTAGAATCCCCCATTCACATACTGTAAAACGATAAGGTAAAAAACTGGACTCTAGCAAAATCCAAAACCAGTGCTCCTCAAAAGGCATTGCCCAAAATCCAAAGAGGCAAAGTCACCAAGTAGAGAAGCAACACATGCATGATCAAAGTCTTGTGATGAGGATACAGAAAGAAGTCTCAAAATTTAATAATGAAAAGGCACAAATACAACCTTTAAAAATGGGCAAAGACTTTGATAGAACACACAGGATAAGAGAAGAATGGCCAATACGCACGTGAAAAGATACTTGGTATTAGACTCTGGGAAATGAGAGCGACAAGGTTAATGAGACTCACCTCCATGACCATTAGAACCATGGCCAAGATCATTAGTGAGATGGCCACCACCAAGGCCTCTGAGGGCACAGAACAATGGGACCCTCAGGGAGACTTGGCGATAATGTGAAATCCCCCTTGGTGTGGCTGTTAAAGGAACACTTACAGTGTGAGTGCCCCCGGTGAAAAGTTAAAACTCAGCCAGGCTTGACAGGACAAGCCTGCAGACCTGCCTCGGCTATCAAGGGAGTTCAAGGGCAACTTAGTGAGACTCTGTCTCAATAAAAACTAACAGAGAAACCAAAGCAAAAGTGGGTTGGGGTTGTAGCTCAGCTATCCTGTCTCCATGCCCACAGCACTCAGGTGAAGGGTGTAACTGTGTTCTACTTTATTATGTGGGTGCTGGGGTCCTCATGTGTTTATAGTCACTGCTCTCACCCACCCAACCACCTTGCCAGTCCTCACCATATATTTTTAAAAATTTATCCTTAGAAAATGTCACCCACACATATATTTTATCTTGATCCTATCCATCCTTCCTCCCCACTCTGGCCTCCCTCAGGACCCCTGATCATACCTCCCTTCCAATTTCATAGGCTCCTTTCATAAGCACTTATTTATTACGTGTTAACCCAGTGAGTCCAATTAGTGCTGCCCCCACACACACACGGGCATGGAGCCATCCACTGGAGCACGGGGAACCAACCAATGGCCACACTCCTAAAGAAAAACGCCTCTTACTACCCCAGTAACTAGCAACTGCTCCTCCACAAGGGGCGAGGCCTCAGGAACCCTCCAGGGTCAATGGCGGAACTTTAAACTAGCTGCATCCCTCATCATTTCTTAGTAACTTTCAACAGAGAACCACCTGGATGAGAAAAGTCAGAAGAGGGCAGCGAGTTAAAATGACACCATTGTGGGGTGATCAGAACAACTCAGGAACCACAGGGCGTAGGTGGGTGGGGAGAGCAGGGCCTTGGCACCCACCTCCACGAAGGCAAACTTCTCCTCGCTGGTGTAATTGTAGCGCGTGGCTCGCTCGTACTCTTCCGCTGTTCCCGGGCAGTCCTTGTTGCAGAACTTGTCTGTGGGGTGAACCAGCTTCCAAGAGTACTGGGGAGAGAAGAACCAGCCAATGCCCGTCAAGGGAAGAATGGTAAGCAAAATGAGGTGATAGATGTGGGTTTTTAAAAATGTCTTTAAGGTTTATCTTTAATGATGCTTATGTGCATCTGTATCTGTTTGTGGGGATGTGTATGTCAATCTGTTTGGGGGGACATGCATGTCAGTGTGAGTGCTCACAGAAGCCAGGGGCACCAGGTCACTTGTGCTGGAGTTACAAGAGGCTGTGAGCCACCTAATGTCAGTGTTGGGTCCCAGCCATCTCTCTCGTCCCAGGTGTGGTTTTATTTTATTTTATTCTTTAAGTGATGAAAATATTCTTAATTTAAGGTCATACAGTTCCATGAATATACTTAAAAATGTGGGTTTCAGTTGGGTATGAGGTGTGGTATATAAATTAATGTTGAAAGGCAGATGCCATGTGAACTAGGTCAGTGTGAGGGCTGGCACCTCAGGACACCTACCACCTCCATGACATGGGCACTCCACTTGGATAGAAGCTGCAGGCCTCGAAGGGCCAGGTCAAAAAGCTCCCGGTACTCTTCATCCGACTTCTGGCTGTCCAGCCCTGAGCCTGTCACCACCTGAGGGACACGGAATTTCATATTCACTTCACAGTCCATGTGTCTGAGGCTCTTGAGCATTGCTCCTCAAATTCCCCTGTAAAAACTGTGCAGCTGTTATGCTCCCTTTGCTAGACCAACTTGGCTTTGACAGTTGTCTTGTTGAAGGCCCCATGTCTTGTAAGTGGCTGAGGGTTCTGATTCAGGAGGTGTCATTTTCGATCCCTGCTTAGCCTCACCCTACGGTCTTACAGCAAAGGCTGTATTCACAATAGGAAGTGCAGACTAGTCAGTGATCCAAGATCTCTTCTTTGCAGTGATATTAAATTCAGGTACGTACAAGCAATGACTTTCACACAACACTGTGACTTCACAGGACTCCTTCTGGTTTCATGGTCTACTTTACGTACAGTGCTAATCACAAATCACTAAAATGATGTCACAGCTCATTGACTAGCTACAATGCAATGATTAAAAAGATCTGACACAAATGTCTGTATGTGTAATACTCCATCCACACCATAAGTATGGATGTATCCACATGATATATATACACACACATATATACACATACACATATATATCACATGAATATATACAGGTAGCCATCATAATGGACACTATCATTGTAAGTTTGTTTCATCACCACTGTCTATCTGTAATTTCCCAAATTAACACTTGTAGCAATGTTTCCATCCCCTGAAGACTCCTGCTTGTCTCCAGCTGAGTAGAGGCTTCTGCCTTTTTGGTTCAGCTCTCATATTGCAAGCCGACATCTCTGTAGCCTAAACAGTGTCAGGATGCCTACAGTTTTGTTCTTTTAATTAACAATTTCAAACAGGGTTGATGTGCTAGGCCAGTGGTTCTCAGCCTTCCCAATGCTGTGACCCTGTAATACAGTTCCTCATGTGGTGACCCCCAACCATAAAATCACTTTTGTTACTACTTCCTAAATACAATTTTTCTACTGTTATGAATTGTAATGTAAATATCTGTTCTCTGATGGTTTTTGGTGACCCCTGTGAAAGGACTGTTTGACCCCAAGAGGGGTCGTGACCCACAGGCTGAGAACCACTGTCCTATACAGTGTTACACTATCCGCAGGAAACCTGGGGCAGACATGTTTAGAAACACTTCGTTCAAACAGAAGTCATGGTGCTGTTGGCCCTCAGCTAATGTCAATGAATCAACAAAAAAAATGTCACAAAGGTATCTTTAGACAGAAATGGAGATAAAACCAGATTCTGTGCTGATAAAAACGCTGTGGCAAGAGGCTCACGGGAATTCTGAATTTCTTTGTGGGCAATGGCTCACAATTTTTGAATTCAGAGTTTATGGCATTTTGTAGAATGTTACTAGTGAAAGTCATGAAAACTGATAACATATATGCACATAGCATGTTCATTTGGCCCTATGTGTCTGAGGTAGTCTGCATCCAACAAATTCATGCAATGGTAGATGGGAAATATTTGGGGGAAATGCTGTATCTATAGCATATGATCTTGATATTATCCCCTAAATACAGCAAAACAGCTATTTATGATGTGATGGTTAGTTTTCATTGTCAACTTGGCACAACCTAGAGTCACCTTAGGAGGGTATCTCAATGGGAGATTGTCTACATTGGGTAAGTTTTGTAGGTATGTCCATGGGGATCATCTTAATTAAGTTAATGGATATGGGAAGATCCAGCCTACACTGGGCGGCACCATTCCCTGATCAGGAGGTTCTGAATTGTGTATTAGAGATTGAGCTGAGCATAAACAAGCAAGCCAAAGAACAAGCATGCATTCATTTCTTTCTCCTCTTAACTGTGGATGTGATGTGAAAAGCTGTCTCAAGCTCTTACCTCTGTGGCTTCCTCAAAATGATGGGCTATAACCTGGAATTGTGAACTAAAATAAAATCTTTATTCTTTAAGTTGCCTTTTCTCAAGAGTATTTTATCATAGTAACAGAGATGAAACTAGAATATATGACATTTGCACATTGTATTAGGTCTTATTAAAAATAGAGACTATTTATAATATATTCAAATATGCAAATAGGTTAGATGAAAAACAATGACTTTCACAAGGGACTGGAGCATCTGTAGACTCTGGTGTCAGTAGTATATCCTGTAGCAATTGCACATGAATACCGAGAGGTAATTGTAATAAAAAAATATCTTTGGCCAGAATTAGTCTCAGATGGCACAGACACGTGACCAGGAATTCCAGCCTCAGGATTCAGAACAGACAATTCTCCTGCTTATGTCAGCTGACGAGCACATTTGCTAAGAAAGCTACAGGTTTGGACTCAACCTGGTCCTTGTGGGCTCTGAGCTACTGACCACACTGCCTGTATTTGTCAGACTGACCCTATTTCAAATGAGCTAGGTTATGATCACCAGTACTTCCTGAGCTGGGGTTTGGAAAAAGATGATCACTATGGCCATTGGTCACACAGTGGAGCCAGTAAGCAAATGTGGCTTCTTCCACAATGTGGGAGTGCAGATTCAGGACCCATGGGGGCTTAAACAGCACATCTTATGTATCTGTGAGAAAGGTATCTATGGGAAGGGACCCACCAAGATATATGACCATAAAAGTTAGTTCTGAGATGGTAGGAGTCTCTGGGATTGTTTTTCTCTCCTTTTGCATATCTAATTTCTTCTAAGTCTGTGAACTGATCACGCTCTTCTATTTAAAAAATTCAAATCACAATCATTGATATCACGAGAGATCTTTATGGCGCACACACATGAGGACCACTGTGGGTGTCAGTTTCTCTGAGACAGGGTCTCTTGGCTGCTTGCCATTGCATTCACCAGGTAGTTGGTCCACAAGCTTCCTGTTTTGCTGTAGAAGCTCTGGTATTGCAGACAGACACGTGCTGTGGAACCACTCCTGGCTTTATGTGGGTTCTGGGAATCCGAATTCAACTGTTCTTCATGCTTGCATAACATGTGTGTTCCCCCCACTGAGCCGCCTCCCCAGCCTTTTGTGGCTTTTTTCTTCTCTGATTCCATTTGTGATATTTTTGAAATGATCATATATATTTCTATAGTTATACATATTGAGATGGTGTTAGGGCAGGAGTGTTCAGAACTGTGTCTCGCGGTGGAGATGGGATGGATCTTGTGCAGCTGGAATAAACAGTTACTGGGCCTTTACTGTATCCAAGACACAACACACATGCTAGGTGCCTTAGTAGTTATTTCAGAGAACCTTTCGAGGTAAATGCTATCATTACCTCTATTTAAAACATGTCTGGATTCTTTTTAATTTGACACCATAACTGTAGATATCTATGGCACACCGTGTGAAGATTCAACACATGTATACAATATGTGAAGAACAGATGTGCCCATCTATCACCTCTGATGTCATTTCTTCATGTCGAGAATCGTGATTATCAACACCCATTGTCAGTGTGACAGAACGTTGTAAGTGATTCCTCCTACTTGGCTAGTTTAAACCTGCATTTTTCTTAAATATTTGCTATTTAGTAAAAGTAGAGATACCCCAAGGAAAAGGAAGGAAGGAAACTATTTCTCTTACCTGACTGTACCTCTGTACCTGCTAACAATCCTCTTTCCATCACCGACTCCCTGCCACTCCCATCCTCCTCAGACACTGTTAGCATTCCATCCATTTTGCAGATGGAGGGATGGAGACCCAGAGTCCAAGTCTGACTCTGAACTGCTTCCAGCAAGCCCACCCTCCGCCTCTGGCAGTGTGCTCCCCCTATCCCACATTGCCTGCTCTTCCTCGGCCTTCTTGTACTCTGTTGGCCCTGGACCAGCCACGGAACTCACCTCGCTGTTGCTGTAGCGAGCCAGCTCAGAGATGAAACGGATGTGGTCATCCCGGATCTGAACCATCTGCTCACAGATGTTGTACTGGGGGCTGATGCTGCTCTGAGTGCATGTCCATCTGGGGAGAAAACCACAGGATTTGGGTGGGTCCCAGCTCCAGGCACCTGCGTGGGACAGGCTCCTTCTGCACACTAGCTGTTCTTGGTCCTCAGACAACATAGTTGGCTCCCCTGGGTGGAACCAAAAGGTCAAGTGGCCGTCTAAGTCCCAGAGCCATCTCTGTAGGCACCATGACTAGAAAGGAGAGTCCGGTCTCTGCCTTCTCCAGATCCTACCACAGGTGTCTCTGGACACTAGCGCACAATACTTACCAGTTAAGTGAGAGAGTGAGTGAGGCCCCAGACCATAGCCTCTCTATGGCCACAAAAGGCTAGAATCGCAGCCGAGCAAAACTGGGACAGGCAACTTCCCTGCCTTTCCCAAAAAGACTTGGTGACATGATGGTACCCATGCTGAGAGACTTCCTATCATGCTGAGAGGCGTGGCTGGCACCTCCTCCCCACCTCTTCTTCCTTCCTTTTCTCTTCCCATTCTCCTCCCTCCTCTCCTGTCTTCTTTCTCTTCCATCCTTTTGAAAGACACCATTAGGAAGACCTTCCTGAATTGGAGAGGGTATAAGTGAACAAAAGCCCTCATGCTCTGCCCCTCTTCCTCTGTCCAGAACTGTGGCTCAGTAGACGGACCACGAGAATGGGAAGCCAGCAGGCAGGCGAAGGGTTTGGACAGAACGTAGACTCAAAAGAAGATGCAAAGGGATTCTCAGAAGGAGTATGAGTGGTGACGCCCTCCTCTGACTTAGACTACTGGTTTTTTATTTTGAGCTACTTGTGGAGGAGACACAGTCACTCAGACCTCTTACTTTCTGCCTGGTTACCAGCGAATATCTGGCCCAATAAGCCTCTCCCTCTAAGGCTGCCAGACACCGTCTGAATTCCCCCCAAGGACTACCTGGGTCTCCAGGTAGATGTAGCTTGTAGGTCGAGGACCCCTCTGCAGGTATCCTAGGTTTTTTTGACACAAGGTTCTAATGTAGCTGAGGCTGTTCTTGAACTCCTGACCCTCCTGCCTCCACTTCCCAACTGCTGGGATCCCAGGTGTTTGTACCATCCACGGGCTCTGCTGGTATCATTTTAATCCCAGCTACTAAGAGTGGCTGAGGTAAGAGGATCACAAATTCAAGGTATCCCTGGGCTACAGATTGAGTTCACCTTAATGAGACCCTGACTCCAAATGAAAGTTAAAAAGAGAAGGGAGACTGTAACCCAGTGGTAAGGTGCTCGCCCAGCATGTGCAAGACCTTCAGTTCAGTCGCCCACACTGCAAAACTAAGAAAAACACTGACCAAAGGGTGGCCAGCTCCGACCCGTATGGATAGGCCATAGTCTCTTAGTTGTAGATAATATGCATGTAGATAGACCATCTTATGATATCTCTGTGATCAGAAGGACCAAGGCTGGAGCCAGATAACTACCCCCCTTCCCCCCGCAAAAAAAATCCCTTCTGGGAGCCACTGACTCACTCCCAGGCCTTAGCATAGATTTCCTAGAACTATGATTTATTAGATGACACAAGGGGAGGTTGTCAACTCCTGTCACAGCTGGAACCATCCAGGCCACACCGCTAACCACGTACTTACTGCATAGCCACAAAACCTGAGCCGAGACCTGAACCGAGACCTGAACCAGGGTGATGACTGTTACCATCAGTAGACTCCTGCTGTCCCACGGAGGGGAGGGGGTTACCGCAGAGCAGGACAAGGGGCGTGACTATGCTCTAAGCCCTTTAGAGCCTGGCAGCAAAGGGCTGGTGCAAAAGGGCTCAGAGCACCCTCGCTATTCCCCTCCTGGTACTGCTGTTCTGCGGGAATCCACCTGCCCAGGGCTCTGGGGAGGGAGGAGGGACTGAAGTGGTCCCTCCACTCCCTGCCCGGGCTGGGCATCCTCACAGGAGCCGAGAGACATTACGGCAGGCACTCACTTGGACTTGTTTTCTTCATAGTGAGCACTGGTCTTAATGTATCTGGCCAGCTCTATCTGCATGTCGCCGAAAAGGGGTACCACCTGCAGCTGCTGCAAAGGAAGCAAACAGAGCATGTGAGATGCCACAGGCAGGGCCGGGGCTGATGTACCAGCGGGGTGTGAGGCTTCGGTGTGCACCTGGGGTCAGTAGCTGTGTTTGTTTCTAAGGGTGTTACCACGGGGTCTTGGCATCCAGAGGAAAGCCCAGCCAGCAGCATACAGGCCTTTCCCCTGTCTCCAACCAACTGTATACTTCAAGCAACTGATGCCTGAAAAGCAAAGTGGCTTGTCCAAGGTCACACAGAATAGATGAAGCAGAGGACCAGAGGGCTGGCCTCCCAGTACAGGGTCATTTCTACAGCTCAGAAGACATCTACTGCTCCAAACTGGACTAGGTGGCAGAGGGCTACTGCCTGGAGGTGGCCTTCCTGAGACCTAACATTAAAGTGCAGACATCTCCTGACCAAAGCCCAGGCTGCTGTCGACCTCCACTGGACACAGGACCAGGCACTTTACAAACACTATCTCAGCCGAGCCTGGCTGCATAGGTCTATACTCCCAACTGTTCATGACGCAAAGGCAAGAAGATCCTAAGTTCTCAGGCTTCCCAGGCAACACAGTGAGACTCTACCTTTAAAAAGTGAAACAGAAAAGCTGGGGTAGAACTAGTAATAGAAGACTTATTTAGCATGGACAAGGCCCTGGTTTTAATCACCAAACCCAACCACCAACCATCTACTATCCCCATCCACACATAACCAAGTGGGGTCAGTACTGTCCCCGTCTCACTGTCCTGGCACAGGGACGACACACAGGAAGAAGCCTAGTCTCTTCAGGAAGTGAGACCAGGCGGAGCAAGAACTGGGATCAGAACCCTTGGCTCCAGGAGGCCTAGTCTATGCCCTTTCCCTTCAGACAGAAGGCAGCAGAGCTGGATTAAACCCTGGCATGGGTGGGCCTGATTCTACCTTCCTTCCTGCTGGTGGAAGGCAGACATTACAGTTTCCCAACATGGGGCCTGTTTTCACCTGGGGCAGCTCTAGAGAAAAGCGAAGAAATCAAGCCACAAGACCCCTCTGAAGACTCCCATTTCCCTTTAAATCTAAATGTACTTGGCCTCACCCAGTGTCTTCCATAACACAACAGTCCCTCAGGGCAGGGCTCACATCTGTAGGACCCAACATGAGAGTAAATTCAGGATGAGAATTCAGTTCCAGATGTGACATCTCCTTGCCCAAACTCCAAAGGCTTAAAATTTATCTGCAAGTTTTTAATTAGGAAGCTTTAGGGCCAAATGGTCAGATCTCAAAGGTGTTAAAAGGGATTGTTCTTACCCAGAATGCTAGTGAGTTATTGTGCTTAAATGCTGCAGAGAAATAGCCTGTCATGAGCCTCAGAGTGGCAATAATGGCAGACATGAATCCACTTGAAATTTTGTGTTTAGAGGTTGGAAACACAGTTTAGCAGTTAAGAGCACTTGCTGCTCTTTCAGAGGACCTGAGTTTGATGCCAGGTACCCACATAGCAGCCTACAACTATATGTAACTCTAGTTCCAGGGCACCCTCTTCTGGCTTCCATGGGTACTGCACACACATGGTACAGACACATGCAGGCATAGTACCCATACACATAAAATAAAAGTAAATCTTTAACAAAAAGATCCAGCCTTTAGTCCTCCCATGAGCTCTGGGGCATAATGACAATTAACACAGGCGTTGTCTTCTAGGATGCAACTCCCTTCAGATGAAAGATTCTAGGAAAGGGAAAAAGAGCATGCAGGAAGACTTACAAGGCCTCCAGTGGAATCCCAGCCGAGTCTGGAGGCAGGTGGGCAACAGACCTTGCTTTAGTGGGAATAGCTGGAGCCTGTGCTCTTATTGTCCTTTTTCTTGAGGGTCGTTAGATGCCTATGAACCACCTCCACAGCTTTCTGCCTAATCCCTTCCTTCCCCAGGGACCGAGGCTCTAGGGACTCTGTCCGCCTGCCCAGCCCCAGCTCCAGTCACTCACCTTAAAGAACTTATCGATTTTGCTAAGGTTGATTCTCTTCTTGGCATCCAGTTTGTAAATGTTACTGACGTTTCCATCCATCAGGTAGAGGCCAAAGCCCATCACCTAGAATGAGAAAGGCCCACGCACAAAACCATCACACCCCCAGAGCAGCTAACAAAAACAGAGGTCCATGACGCATGCATGCACATGCGTACAGGCACACACAAACTCACTGGCGTCTCGTAGAGACACATATGCTGTTTCAAAATCATTAAATTAACAGAAAACATGGGCTTAATTCAACAAGAAATGTAATATATTATTATGATAGCCAGTCTGGGCCCGGGGCTGTGGTTAGGGTTTAACAAGTGTGGTCTCAGTTCCCACAAAACTCTTAGGTACCATGTGCTATTGTAAAGATGAGGAGCAAGAGACACAGAGGTGAGAGATCTTGCCAGAGTCACACAAATGAGCTGCAGAGACTTATCTGCAAAGGGTTTAGCCCAGGATCTCCCATCCAAATGTGCACTTAGAGGTCCACTAAGATAGAAAGGACTTTGTTGTTTCTGAGAGGTGTCAAGGCACAGACACTGGAATATTGGCCAATGACCATAAAAGTCCCCAGGAACACAGCAATGCAAAGGCTCCTGAGGAGTCATGGGGGCCACTGCTCAAGAGCAAGTCTGCCTGAAGATGCTGATACTCTTAATATTCTGGCTCATTTGCTCGTCCCTTTGGGTAGATGAGAAGCTGGGGTCATGGTCACCTGTAGAGACATAGGAAGTCACTCCTCACCATGCCTTTATCACCCGGGGACCTAAGGGATGAACCAGAGGACTGTCCCTGACAGCTGCTTCCTGCTTGGCACATCCTGTCCTGCAGCATCAGCACCAGACTATCCCGTAAGGGTTCCAGCGCCCCCTGGTGGCATCTGAACTCACTAACAAGCTACAGAGAGCTGGGCAACAGGACAAAACAGTGTCAGCTGTGGGAGAAAGGTTAGAAAGGACCTAAGCAGCCAAGGGCAGAACAACCGGCAATGCAACAGATTTCTCCTGTACGATGCCATCTTATGGCTGCGTAACAGTCCCAACACATTTGATCACGTGGGATAGAAAGTCCACACACAGGCTGGTGGGGTGGCTCAGTGGGTAAAGGTGTTTGCTGCCAGGCCTGATGATCTGAGTTCAGTTCCCAGGACTCACATGGTGGAAGGAAAGAACCGCCTCCCACAAGTTGTCCTTTGACCTCCACATGAATACTGTGGTACACAAGTGTTCAGGTACATGCATAATAAAATAAATAAATCTTTACAATTCTATATGTAAGGCTGGGCGTGGCGGTACACATCTTTAATCCCAGCACTTGGGAGACAGAGGCAAGTCGATCTCTATGAGTTTAAGGTCAGCTTGGTCTACACATTGAGTTTCAAGCTAGCCAGAGTTAAATTTAGTTGAGACCCTGTCTCAAAAAAACAAAACTAAACTAAAAACAAAAACAAAAACAAAACAACAAAAAACCTTTTACATTCTATGTTATTAAATATTTTGAAAATATATAAGCACAGAAAAAAATGACATACACCAAAGTATTGTCTCTGATCTGGGAGGAAAGATTAGAAGAGACCAAACATTTTTGTGCTGTCCTGCATAATTTAGTCTCTCCATAAGTATAACAGGAGCTTCATAATTTCAGGATGAAAACTGAAAACCACTGGAACAATTTTGACCATTTTGACAAAACATGGACTCTTCCTTCCCTATCAGCTAGGAATTTCTCTTTTAGGAAGTTTAGCTCTACAAACTCTGACATCTGGGTTTTTCTACAAACTCTGACATCCGGGTTTTCAGTGCAGTCAAACATTTAGCCACAGGAGATGTGTGGAAAAATAACATCCCTATAAAACGGCTTCTTGGCATCAACTAGGGATGGCATTGGAGAAACATCTGTAATGACGTTTTCAATGTGTGTTTGGCCCAAGGAGAGATCCCAAGTAAGACTGGAGTCATTGGCTGATACTTAAAAATATTGTTAAGTGGGGGCTAAGGAGATGGCCCAGTCAGTCACGAGCTTGTGGCACAAGCATAAGACCCGAATTCAAGCTTGAGCACCTGTGTAAAAACAGGCATGGTGGCGCACACGTGAAACCCCAATGCTGGGGAGGCAGAGTCAAGCCAGTTTCTGGACTTTCTGGCCAGGCATCCAGGTCTAATGGGTGAGCCCTAAGTCCCAGTGAGAGACCATATGTCAGAAAAGAATATGGGGCAGGAACGACGGCTCAGTGGTTAAGAACAGTTCCTGCCCTTGCAGAGGACCTGGGTTCCCAGCACCCATATCGGGCAGTTCACAATAGCTCATAACTCCAGTTCCAGGATATCTGGTGCCGCTGGCCTTCAAGGGCACCTGCACTCATGTGCACACACCCACATATGCATAATTAAAATGATAGAAATAAATCTTTAGAAAAGATGATGGATGACTCCTGAAGAATAACACCTCTGGTGTACACACACACACACACACACACACACACACACAGAAAGAAGCAGTGTGAAGTTGGGGAAGGTTTACCTTGAGGAGCATGTGTTTCTCACTGGGTGTCAGATACATCTTATTCTCATAGTAATCCACGCAGATGTTGACAATGTCTGCCAGCAGCTCCTCATAGCCTGGAATCACTTCCAGTTGCTGGTGAAGACACTAAACAACAGCGCCACCCACTGGTTAGGCCAAGCAAACATCCTCCTGCCTCGCCCAGAAAGCCCAGAGCTGGGCTGGATAAAGGAGCATATTGGTTCCTACTGAGGTCTCAGGAGGAGGGAGCCTTCATGCCAGCAGGTGCTGATACCCGACTCCACCTAAATGCTAGACAACAGCCGGTAGTTCCTGCTCACCTCCCACGACAGGGACTTAACCCCTTGGGCCTCCCATGTTAACCCTGGTGGTTCTGAGGGTAGAAGGTACTTCTGGGCAGCTCAGCTTTACAGCGATTGGGCCTGCAGTAATTGCAGTTTAGTTTTGAGGGTGTGGCCTTCTCTGTGAGGTTCCTTCAGACAAGGGCAGGGAGAAGACCCACCCAGCGGAAGGAGTAAGAGTAGGTAGGCAGGAATCTCCTCACTGGCAGGCCCCAGGAACATCAAAACAGTTCCTATTAAAAAAGGTTTCTCTGTAGCCCTTTCCCCCCACAGAGACAAACTGGGCCCCTATGGGACACTCAGTTGACAGCATTGCTGGAATTCTCTACAGACAGCAGGGGGCTATGACTCCATAGCCTTCCAAAGTGACCCAAAAAAGGCTCGGCCACCTCCAGGCCTTTGAGATAGGGATAAGAGTCTGAGAACTCTTGGGAGCATCAGGGTCCCTCTGGGTTGGCCTGGGTTCTGCAGACACTCTTGTTGGTACTGAACTGACAGGGAGACAGATCCAGCTATGACAGGCCCAATGGGCAGAGGCCCCAGTGGATGCACTCTTGGCAAACCGGTGGTGGGGACTACAACTGTGCCTTCCCAGGCTCTTGGTCATGTTCTGAGGGCTTTTTGTTCACACTTCATTTATTTTTTCAAGCTAGTCCTATGAGATATATTCTCATAATAGTCCTCAAATAATACACCCACTTTATGGATGAGTAAACTAAATCTCTGACTTTGCCTGAGGTGGGATAATGGACCCACGATAGGCTTGTTCTCAACCTAGAGGCTGATGTGGGGCCCACAGCCCTGTCTGGGAACCTTCCTGAGCACCAGACAGGGAGAGGTCATTGGCTGTAGCTTTACTTTACTCTCATGAAGGGCAGTGGAGACAAGTGTGGACTGAGCTTGTGAATGGTCCCTCGGAGCCCTATGAGCCTCAGGCTCTATCCTTGCTTCCTTGGCATGCCAGGCAGGAACCAACCGGGAACCTGTCCTCACCTGGGTGATCCTGTTGTGATTGGCCAGGAACATAGACAGGTTCTGAGACTCCTGAATGGACTGGGGGTCCGCCATCTTCCTTAGGAACTGGGCCGCTCTGAAACACAGGGAAGGAGGTGATAACGGGGTTCATAGGAGTCTGCTCTCACTCAGCCTAAAAGAGACAGCATCCTGATGTCAGGAGGCCCTGAGCAACACAGGTGACCCCAAGGTCAAAGGAAAACGTATTTGGCAGTCCTTTCTCTGTTTATGCCCTCATGACAGCTGCTGGGAATTAAAGGGCAGGAAAGCAGAACACATCACTGGAATCTTGGGACGTTTAATGGGAACCAGGAGGGAATGAGGAGACAGGGAGTGGGCAGTGTCCTTGAGCCTGGCCAGGACCTCCAGGGAAGCTGTACAGTGAGTCCTGCAGACCAGTTCCAGGCAGGAAGCTTCATTTTTCCATGTGTTCTGTTCATTATAGGAAGATCTCAGCAGCCTGTTTTGGGGTCTGTAGTACCAGGGATAGGATCTAGGGCACTGTGCAAGCACTTGACCTCTGAGCTATGTCCCCTACCTTTTTACTATTTTTCAGTTTTAAGACAGTGTCCTGCTAAGTTTTTCAGGCCGGTGTCACACTATAGCCTAGACCTTGAACTGATGGAAACTAGCAAGAGTTACTGTCCTGCGCCGCTAGGCCCAGCTGATGCGTCTCCTGCCTCAGCCTTCCAAGGAGCATGGATCAAAGATCTGGTTTGACTTCAGCATTCCCATGCACAGCACTGCATGGGAACACAAGTGCCTTTGACCTAAGTGGACGGCGGATGAAAGGAGGAAGAACAGAGACAGCACGGGCTGGTCTTAACTGTGCGTCCCAACTTAACCCAGCAAGGCACAGCTCAGGTCACAATAACTTGTGAGAATGGGGACAACACTCCCGCATGGTTCGGGACACAGATGTTGGCTGTGGTCATGATGGAAGTGGTGGGCCATCACAGGAAGTGGATGGGGAAGGATGCTGCCCCGGTGGCCATCTGTGACATCTTGAGTTGGCCTTGAGATAGGCTCTAAGTATTGAGCAACTTAGGTTTCACAGCTGACCCAGGAGAATAAAATTGTGAAATTCAATCTGCCTTATTCTTTCTCCTGTTATTTTGAAACATGGGGAGGTATGGCTCAGAGATAGGGTCATTCTTTGCCAGTGGTAGGGACAACCCTTCCAGGAGGTATGTACAGACATTGTGGCACTCATCTGAACCTCAACTAGCTCCCAGAGATCTGTCTCTTTGCAATGCTTCCTGTCTTTATGTGGCTATATCCTGGCTTCTGGAGGTGAATGACCCCTTCCCAATCCCAGTCCTTCTTTCAATGATGACACGGACCTCGAACTCAGCCATCCATTCAGCTAACCTCCACCCCACTCAGTATCTGAGGGAAGGATTAGCAAGCTGGACTGATGTAGGCAATCTTGACTTGGATTTTTCAAATTCAAGTGGAAAGTGAGGAGTTCTTTCCTGAAAAGCTGGGGTTATGCCACAGGATGGCAGGAAACCATTGCAGAGGTCTGTCTGATAAAAAAAGCCCACAGAGAGGCAGGTCTGGCAGAGAGGTGGTGAAGAGATCCAGGCAAATGCCGCTGCTGGGGTAACTAGAGGAATGTATGCCTGGGCTTTGCAGTTCTGGGACATAAAGCAGTGGCTTTCTGTCTCTCACAGAAAATGATGATGTGATTGCATTATGCTAATCTTTCTGCCACGAGGGAGGCATGCTGTTCCCCAGATGGGGAAGGGAGGACCCGATTCCTTCTTGGGACATCAAGCCTGGCCAACACCAACTTTTTCTGAAGCCCCAGCTGGGAACCCTCTTCCTCAAACCACCCCGACACGGCAGCTGCGTTGGGGGAAGGCTACTCGGTTCCCAGGGAATCAGTCTGCGAGAGGCGCTCGGGGAGCAGGGAGGGCCACTGACCTCTTGTAGGCAGAGTGGTCGTTCTTGACGCTGCACTTCATGTTCTTTAGCTCATCCAAGACTGCGAACATGTTGATGAACTTGCCCAGGGTCAGCAGGTAGGCCTCCGAGACAAAGTCCTTCCTGCGCTCGGCATGGCACAGCCGCTTCACCTCGCTACAGAAGCGCTCGATGGCCTTGCGCTGGAGACAGAGGGGCAGTGGTGAGGACGGGGCAGCCTGGTGAGCCGGGGTGAGGGGGCAGGGGCTCAGCGTACTCTTGGGTAGGAGCAGGTCAAGGCTCCCCTAGGGTCCTTACTAGAGACAAGGTGGTGCCATGCCAGGCAGTCTTTTTCAGAGATGGCTCCCGTTTCCAAAGCTAACTGTGACAGGGGGCTGGGACCCACCCATTCGACGTGAGCTTATCTGATGAATTATTCCAAAACACATTTGCTAGGAAGCATTGTGTCCCCAGTGTGTGACATGCAGGGAGAGACAGAGGTTCACCTAACAAGCAACTGATAAGTGAGCATCTACTGTATACCATATAGTCATCCTAAGGACTGAAGTTAAGCAGAAGTTGAAACAAGAACAAAACCCACTCCAAGGATCTTATATGTCAATTAAGTAGCAGAAAACAAATTATTTGCGGCAGAATTTCATACTTGATATAGAAGGAAATGAAGAAGGGATGGAGGCCGGGAAGGGTTTAAAGGAACTGTCCTTCTGGGGAGAAAGACGGAAATCGCCAAGAAGTGACTTTCAGGGAAGTGATTTGAAAGAGAAGGAGAAAGATAGGAGTAAGTGAAGGAAGCATGAGTCGCCAGTGCAAAGGCCCTGAGGCACGTCGGAAGGGCAGAGGAAGGACAGGGCTTGGCTTGAGCTGGAGTGAGTGCAGGGAAGGAGCAGTCAACACTGGAGGGGCCATGCACTCTCAGAGGCTCTTCTGAGGGTTGTGCTTTGACCAGTGAGGTGGGCAGTCCTGGGGCTCTAGAGGGGTTGTGGAGGTGACAGCGGCGGTGACAGTGGACTAAAGGGCCAGTTAGGAAATTGCACACCTAAGGTGGAGTCCCTAAGTGACCCAGCACTCCACTCACAGGAATCTGCTTGCCCTAGTTTGCTGTCAACTGCTGTGATAAACATCCTGACCGACAGCAACCTGGGGAAGAAAAGACTTATTTCATTCACGCCTTACAGTCCAACCTGGAGGAAGTCAGGACAGGAACTCAAGGCAAGAACCCAGAGGCAGGAACTGGAGCAGAGACCACAGAGGGTCCACAGCTTGGTCAGTTTGCTTTCTTAGACAACCTAGGCCCACCTGCTAAGAGTGGCGTAGCCCACAGTGATCTGGGCCCTCCCACACTAATCATTAATCCAGACCCCCCCCCCCACTTGCCTACAGGGCAATCAATAGAGGACATCCATCAATTGAGTCTCCTTCTTTCCATATGACTCCAGATCGTGTCAAATTGACAAAAGCCGAACACACAACCCAAGAGAAAGAGTCTATCATCACAGACGCTCTAACCCATGTGTTCAGCTTGTGCCCCTAACAGACCTAAAGGGGAAAACACCCTCATCTATCACCTGGTGGATGGATGAATAAAATACGGGGCACGTGTACAGTGACATGGTGTTCCATCATTAAAAAAACAAAACAAAACAACCCAAAGCAAAACAGATTCTAACACCTGCTGCAGTGCAGAGGACACTCAAAAACATCCCACCAACTGCAAGAGGTCAGCCATGAAAAGCCCTGTCCTGTCTAACTTCATTTGTAGGAAAATGTCTCAACAGGAAATCCACAGAGATAAGAAGGAGTTGAGTAGTTGCCTGGGGCTGAAGGACAGGATGCTGGGGGTAGTAGGGAGTGATGGCTCAAGAGATTTCTTTCAGAGGGTTAAAGATCTTCTCGAACAGATTATACGATGAAAACACACTCTGTGAAGACACTAAAGCATGCTGGGATGTTCACTCTACTTGGGTGAATCACAGGAGTAAATATTATATCTCAAAAAAAAGTCTGTTACTGGTTTTGAAAGAAAGTAGTTCAAAAGCCAGGAGCTACTGTAGTAACAGAGGGATGGTGAGCAAGAGAAAAGGAAGAGGAGGGGGGAAAGGAGGAGGAGGAAGGAGAGGGAGAAAAAGAACACAGGAAGGGAGGTGTGAGGAGAGGATGCACATGCAGATGTGAGCCCTGATCCCTTCCGGGGCCTACCATGCCCACCTGCCAGTTCCTGTCCCTCAAAGACCAGACCAGGCCAGAGTCTAAGACCAGCTGGGCTTTCTGCCATGGTGGAACTGTTCATTCACCACAGCAATGCTCATCATAATGGTGTAACAGTTAATCTCAACTTTCAACTTGATGGGATTTAGGCTCACCATGGAACCCCTGGGGGTATCTATGAAGGATGTGTGTGTTTCCAGGAAGGTCTAACTGAACAAGGAGGATTTACCCTGAATGTGTAAGTGGTGTGGCATGACCCCCTGGACTTGGGTCCCAGACTGAGTAAAAAGGAGAAAGTTGGCTGAGCACCAGCATTCACCTCTCCCTCCTCCCTAACCTGGGCACAACCTGGCCAGTGCCACATGCTCCTGCTGCCATGCTTTTATTGCCACAGTGAACTGTACCTTTAAACTATGAACCAAGTAAGCCTGTCCTTCCTTGAGACTTCTGGAAATGCTTTATTAGGCATTTGACCCAGAAGTGAAAAGAGTAACTAATATGGACGGCCACAGTGGCTGCTGAGTGCTTGAAGTGAGCCTTGTATTGCTGAGGAGTTGCCTTTTAACTTATTACTGTTTATACACAGTCAATGGGCATGGTGCTGGGTACATGTCTATGAATCATTCCAGATACTTCCTTCCATTCACACCTCTTGTAGGGAATCTCTTCACTTCACAACCAGTTTCTGATGGCTCTTCTCTTTTGGACCTGCTTCCCAAAAAGACTTTAGGCTCTGGGAAGTTAGGCCATCTATGATACTAACAACAGCTGTGAGGCACTATAAACTAACACAGGGCGTCGTTGGCTGCCTGCAGGTAGATTTTGTTTTCGCTACCCTGACAGGCAGACTTCATTTCATGCGTGTGCGTGTGTGTGTGTGTGTGTGTGTGTGTGTGTGTGTGTGTGTGCGTGTGCATGTGAAATGAGTCACACACAGTCATAAGACAGCAGAGCCAGGGTCTAACCTGGCATATTCCTTACCCAGGCTGAGGGACCCTCCAATGCAGTCCTAGCTCTTGGCTAGATGCTGTGTACAGGGTGGACCTGGCCAGAGTCAAGAGTCCATGAATGAAACTCAGCCCCTTAGGTGGAACATACGTAGCGCGTGGCTTGTGCAAGCTAGGCCACCCGCTGTGGGGTAGAGACTGGCTTTGAAGTGTTCACCCTGCCGCCTTCTCGGCTGCCAATGAGACCCCATGCTCCTCGCTTACAGCCTCTTCCAACCTCCACCTCCCAACCATTTCCTATCTAGCGGCCAGATGTCCTAAAGCCTCAGCTCACATCACCAAATCCAAACCTCAAGGCTCACAGCACCCCATCTATGAGTCCTGTCCCCGCTCCAGCCTCCCCTTGGACCGCTTCCTGGTTTTTGCTGTTCTACAGCCCACTCTCACACTGCCTCTATTTCCTGAACACAAGAATTCCTACTGGCCTTGGGGCTTTGCCGGATCATCTTCCTGGAGTCCTTCTCACCACACCAACACACTCCGGCCTCTCTTGTGACTAGGTCATAGTTCCACGCACTGTCCCTCAGGCCACTCGCTGTGACTACTCTGCAATCTACGACTGTCGGAAAGCACATTTTACTCACGGCCTGTACCATGTCCTAAAAAACGACTGTGTATTTTTTGTAGCTCTGTGCTCCAAGCATACACATACTCACTGGGACACATCCTCTGTGGAGGCGGGGACACCTGTTGGCCTGGCTCACCCACAGGAATGTGGGTGGCTCTTAAAAATATCAGCTGGATGGAAAAAAAAATGACATGGCACCAAAGTCTAGTACGTGGAAGGGTAGGGGTCTTTGTGAGCCTTCTGCTGCGGACCCCTCCACGCCTCACTCACCTGAAAGTACATGAACTTCATGAGCTTGGTGACCTCTGGCTCCAGTACTTCCACCGTCTTCTCGTAGATCTCTACCCGGTTGGGCTGTTCATTGCACTTTACCTGGGAATGTGAGAGGCAAGTTCATTATCCAGGCTCCCAGCTACTGTCTTATGAGCACAGCCTATAGTTCACATGTGACATCTTGTTGTGGGTGATAATGGATATGGTCACCGTAGTGAGAGGGGGCCGTAGAAGACGGACAAGCCCTAGAAGTGATCCCTGGAGTCTGGCTGCAGTACGGAGGCAGCTGGTCCCGACACTGGGCCCTCCTCCCTTTCCTGTTGGCCTGTGCCCTTACAGTTGGCTATACATGTACCTATGGAGACCTGCAATGTCCTCTCCCCTTATCCTCATGCACAAGATGGTGAGCCGGTCTGCTCTTGTTATGCCATGTGCCTGGCGCACAGCTCCCCAGCCATATCCAGGTTAACGATGGCTAGCCAGAGCTATGCCATCCAGAGACTCATTTCCCCTGCCAGGTGCTTTCAGTCAGCATATAACCTTAGTACCACATGGCAGATGTTCTTTGAACACACACACACACACACACACACACACACACGCCAAGCCTGGCAACAGGATGGCTAGTTGTGAGAGTGAGCAAATGCATTATTGTTTTTTCTTTAGACAGTATCTCACTATGTAGCCCACACTGACCTGAAACGCAAGATCTTCCTGACTTGGGATTATAGGTGAGTAAGCACCACGTGCACGGGACAAGGACTATTGTTAATGGTTATCAATGGCACGATAACTGCCGGTGGGTCATTAAAAGGACACGTGATACCATCGTATACCAACCACCATTACAAACTTTAGAAGGTGGATCTCTGGGAATCACCACGGAGAGTGGCCACCACAGCTGACAAGCATAAAAGGCCATAGTTAAATATGATTTGATGCCCGTTTTATATTCGTTTATCTCTACACTGCTGGGGAGAGGCTCCAGGCTTTGGAACCCCAAACCTTGGATTTGTTTAGCAATGCTTTGCCACTGAGCCACAACTCCAGTTTGGTCCCTTTTTCCAGAAAAAGAAAATTCTGAGGCTGGCCAGATGGTCCAGCAGAAAAACACACTTGCTTTCAAGGCTGGTGACCTGCATGGGGACAGAACCAATTCCTGCATGCTGTCCTCAGACGGCCGGCCACATGCACACCACTGTACATGCATACCCTCCCCAGAGAGAATAAATAAATGTAATAAAATTTTTTTAAAAATTCAATGGTTTAAGAAAAACAAAACCAGGCTTAGAAAAAAAAACATGAAACGTACAAAATTTGTTAGTAATAGCTGTTCCTAAATATGAGGGTTAAAAGAGAGATTGGTACCTTCTGTTTACTATATGCATGTGAGGTTTGTTGATTTTGTTACAAAGGGATCCACTAATTAACTGAAAATATCCATGATAATAAAAAGATCTGTATTTCCAACAAGTCCAAGACAGTGTAAAAAAATGAGAAACAATACGGTTCTGTGGTCACAATATGGCTTTATAGACTATGTCCCTGCCAATAAGAAGATCCAGAACAGTCTGAAGCAGAGTGTGCCCAGTGATCATCCTGTGGCTGGTCGTGGGTTTGGGTGGAGGAGTGAGGGGATATCGTGTTTGCTACTTTAGACCCTTCGCAATGGCCTGGGTGGAAGGTGGCAGACGCTGCTCATAAAATAAAATACTGTGCATAGTATGTACTGGGAAACTGTCTTTAAGACCCTGGGGCTGTGGACCTTGTCAGTAGTATTATGGGAAGCTCTTTGGGTCAGAGGTCCTGATTTACCTCCTGCCACCCAGAAAGCTCAGCCCTCTGGTTTGGCTTTGATTGGGCTTCAGGGGCAGTGACACCTCCCTGAAGGGCAAAAGAGGCACAGCAAGGATGGTCTCACCTGTGGGATGGCCCGGGAGCAGCTGCGCCAGGTGTACAGCATGACCGCATACTCGTGTCCCTCCTCCAGCATTTCGTTCTGAAACGGCAAAGCACTTTCAGCAGGGAGAAAGAACAGTAGTACCACGGCCTTCTCAAGGCTCCAGCTACACCACCAAGGGTGTGGTCCGCAGCCAGCAACAGCAGCAGCCCCTGCGGGCTTGTTGACAAAGCTGCTTCTCCGGCTGTCCTCCCAGGCTGTCCGAGCCTATGCTTAAGACCCTATATTCCAGGGAAGTCTCCAGGTAACTCACATGCACCTTCCAGTTAAGACTGATCTAATATGAATTTCAATGAAAGCCAGAGGAAAGGCCACACATTCTGATTCCTTCAGATGAAACAGCCACAAGAGCTACAGCCTTAAGGACAGGCGGTGGTTGATGGGAACATGGGGAGAGAGAGGACCGGGTGAGACTGCTAACAGTCTAGGGTACACATATGGGGTAATGGAATTAAGTGGTGGTGACAGTTGTATAATATTGTGAAGATGATTAAAATATTCACACATATATTTTAAATGGTTTCCTGTTATGGGAAGCATACCTCAAAAAAATATTAGGAGAAAAGAATTAGTATTATGCTTCCTCTCCTTGCAAATGTATCTAGGAAAAAATGAATTTTAAAATTTAACTCTATTTATCATATCCACTTTATAATACATTATTAGGGTAAAAATCCAATTTAATTTGGAGTTTGTTACTTATTGTGATTCTACTCAACAGCAAGGGTTTCAATTCTTAATTTAGAACTTAAGTCAGTAACATGCTGTCCCCAAGTTCAGAAACAACCAAGCCCAACTGTGGGCCTCCTGCTTTCTCTTCTGCTTGGGAACATGTGTCTAAAAGGGGAACCGACAGTAATGTAGAGAACACGTGGCGGTGCTCGGCCCCCGAATGCCCGCAGCAGGCATCATTCACTGGGTTCACGGAGACTGCAGTAAGTATCTTTAAGTCCCGGGCTCCCTGTCTGTCTGTCTGTCTGTCTGTCTGTCTGTCTGTCTCTCTCTCTCTCTCTCTCTCTCTCTCTCTCTCTCTCTCTCTCTCTGTGTGTGTGTGTGTGTGTGTGTGTGTGTGTGTGTGTGTGTGTGTGTGAAGCAGGACTGAGAAACAAGGTGTGCACTCTCTGCCCTCTGGACAGTTCAGTTTACGTGGTGTTGGGGATCAAACCTAGGGCATTTCAAATGCTAGGCAAGCACTCTCTCGACTAAACCAATTATACAATTTCTCACAGCAGCATCAGAAAACAAATGTAATCACGTTTAGAGCCAGCCTGTCCCAGACTTGCCTATCCAAGCCTGTGGCCTGGTATTTCTGGGACACCTCAGTCTGCATGGTTCCAATTCCCTCCACCCCCAAAGAATCATTACACCAGGTGGAGGTGATAGCCAGTTTCTCTCATGTACATGATCATTACAGCTCTCCCCTAAGACCACCACCCCCACTCAGCCTTTCATGCCTCCAGCAACCATCATTTTCAGGATCTCATCCAGTATATGTGTTCCATTCACTCCCCCATTCCACGAGTGATTCATAAATAAGGCATGGCTCAAGCAGAGTTCTGCTCCCCTCTCTCCCAAGGTTGAAAATTGCCCACTGCCACTTATCTATTTAGTTTGTTTGTTTGTGATAGGGTCTCTAGTCCAAGCTAGCTTCAAGCTCCCTATGTAGCCAAGAAAGTGATCTTTAACTTCTGATCCTCCTGCCTCCCCACAGTTGGGGTTACAAGCGTTTGCCACACCACGCCCAGTTTATTTGGCGCTGGATATCAAGCCAGGGCTTTGTGTGTTCTAGACAGGTACTCAAACAACAGAAACGGAGCTACATCTCCAGGCTCCGATCTGTATTTTCATCAAATGGATGAAAGTCCTCAGTTACAGGCTCCGCTGTTCCCTTCCCTCCCCACACACCATACAGAAGCTCCAGCCCTAAACCTGGTGCTGGAGACTGTGACTCTGTTTCTAGCTGAGCTCTTTTGAGAGGCAATGAAGCTCACAGGACATTGTGAGGGCAAGCTCCCAATCAATCTGACTGGCATCCTCATAAAGGGGGGAACTTGGGTACACATAGACACATCGGACACGCGGGAGTTTGTATGGAAAGAGCCAGGGTAGCCAAAGAGATGACAGCAAGAGAAATCAGCTCTGCTGACCCTGGTCCAGGAGTCCCACCCTCGAGGGTTGTGGGAGGGAAACACTTTGCTTAAGCCCGCTGGTCACAGTATTTTGCAATGGCGGCCTAGGCAGCAAATATGATCTCCATGTATAGAGCCCTTACCTCATTCTCCATATATGCTATATACAGTTATACACAGACACACACATACACACACACACACACACACACACACACACACACACACACACACACACACAGACTCTCTCTCTCTCTCTCTCACGCACACACACATACACACACACACACACACACACACACACACACCAATTTTGGGTAGTTTCTGAGAATTCTGTCTTTGCTTGTGCTGATGTTCGCCTGAGGTCCCCTCCCCATCTCATTTCTGACTGCTACAATCCTATGTGACATGGAGAGAACCACAGAAAGAGGTCAGGACTGTTCCCAGGTTCATGCAAGGACTTACTAGTTGTAGGATGATGAGCAATTTGCTTATTAACTTCTTCAGACCTCAGTCTTCTCATCTCTACAACAGGTATAATGATCCCTTTGCAAGCCCTGGGGTTATTATGGGGTTCTCATGATATCACACAGCAGGTTGCCCTGCCTACATTTCAAAAGGCAGTGTGCATACACACCCTATCATTACCCTCTGAGAAGGCTGTGCTCAAAAGCTGCTTCCTCCCCAGGGAGCTTCTTCCGGCCTCCTCAGGGCCCCTTCAAAAACTGAACTCCAAACTTTTACCATGATGTTGAATGTTTTTACATTTTTATTTGCCTACAAAGAATAGTCCAGAGTGGCAAGCTTTGTCACCAGAGAATCCCAAGTTTAGAACTACCACCCATCAGCTGTGAGACCCTCAAGTCAATTTCTTTTTTTGTTTGTTTGTTTTTTTGAGACAGAGTTTCTCTGTGTAGCTTTGGTGCCTGTCCTGGATCTCACTCTGTAGACCAGGCTGGCCTCGAACGCACAGAGATCCGCCTGGGATTAAAGGCGTGCACCACCACTACCCAGCTCAAGTCAATTTCTTAACAGTTGAGAGGCTCCAGTGTTGGCTGCCCATCACCTCCTTCACAGGGTCTGTGTGAGGATTAAATGAGACAATGAACCTGAAATAGCTGCACAGAAAAAAAGTGTTTGGTTGACTTGTCTCTTCCCCACTTGACTTGCTCAGAACTGAGACTGGCCCCACACAAATCCTAGAACCAGCTCACAGCAGATACACAACAGTTAACGAATGAGTTGAGGTTTTGGAACATCCCACACAGTGAGAGGGGTCCAGTACACGCAGGGGCCCTTGGACGAGGAATCCAGAATTCTGAAAACTTCACTGTAGATAAAAGGGGAGAGGAGAGTCTGTCCTCTTAGGGTCAGACCCTAAGAGGGAAAACAAATGGCTCCATTTATGGATGATTTAGGCAAGCAGCTGCCTTGAGTCAATAAATGACATTTTCCAAAGCCACGTCAACATCACTTGCCCTTTTGATGAGGAATTGTTTTCTTTGTCAAGAGACCAAACAATGCCCCCCGCCCCCCAGTCATCTGTAAGGGTAAGACTGAAGTAGGACTTACTCACCCATGTACCTAAAAAGACCCAAAGCCCTGGCATCGGGGAAGTGAAGAGTAGGGTTCTGATGGGCCTACAGTGACCACAGTGAGCAAAGCATGGAGTACGCCCCAAGGCACAGAGAGGGGATGAGCCTGGGTTCCGAAATGGACTCCCATAGCCCCGCTGACTAAGGCAGAGCATACTGGAGTAGCTAAGTACAGGCCTGGTGTGGGAAGCTGCCCATGGTTCCTCCTGCTTCAGCAGGCTGTGTATCTGCACATGTGGGTCACAGAGACTTACCATGCTGGAGTGGACCGTTGCCTGCTCAATGTACCTTGCAATGCCCGTGACAAATGCATTCCTGTCCTCGAAGTTCGTGTCAAAGTTAGCCTGTGGTGGTAGAGGATGGGAGGGGGCATTTGGTTACTGAAAAACACATCTAGGTTAGCTGGATGTCTAGGGAGCGAACAGATGCCAACAAAAGCCACAGCTTTCTGTGGACATCTACTGCCCTGTGGCTTTCAAATACCACCCCTTACCACCTCAAATCAGCTGAGGACAGATGGACAGCACCTGCTTTGCACAGGCGACCGGTTTTGCTCAACCAAGCCTCAGAAGTAAATGTTTAATTCCAAATTGACAACTTTTTAATTCCAGTTAGTAAGGATTTACAAATAAACGTTGCTGATTTATTCATGTGATAAGTACACTAAAATTAATCTGTTTTATATGCTTGTCATGATGAATAAAAGTCCAAGCCCAAGGAAATCATACTCCCAGCTAACAAGGCAAGTCTAAACAGCCGCTAAATGTCAAGGTGTGCATGGCTTTGATCCAGCCATTTGGACACGCTTGCCTGAGGGTGCCCAGGTGGAGATGTATAAGTCAGGCCACCACTGCAGTTTTTATAATTCAACACGACCTGGAAACAATGAAAACACCCAGCAAAAGCGACAGTAGATGACAGTCTCTCTGGACAACGGGCTGGGAAGACCGTGAGCTGCTTAAACATGAGGCATTGTTACTGCAGCGCTGATGTTCCACAATAGCCACAGAAGCTTTCGCTGCTGTGATTTCTGAGATAGAGGCTCTCTCTGTAGCCCAGGCTAGCCTCAGACTCACAGCAATCCTCTTCCCTCAGCCTCTGGAATGCTAGGATTACATTTATGAGCCACCACGCCTCGCTCCACAATACATGTTAAGAAAAAGATGAATCTGAACAGTTTATATATATATTTATATTTAAATATATGTCATGAATTCTTGTCTTGGTAAAAAGGAAAACGACATATACCACATGTATTTAATAAAACAAAATGTCTGTGTACACAGAGAAGAGTATATCAGTATAAGAAATTTATTTCTATGCTATACTTTTCCATTTTGTTAGTAATGAAAATGTCTCTCTATAAAACTAAAATCAAAATATGCTTGTATAATTAAAATTGTAATCTGTGTTAAAAAGCTATGAATAAGACAGATTTAGGAACTGAATCTTCAAGTATGTGAAGATTCATTTAACTATTAAACGAAATGAAAAAATACTAGTCATAGTTCACCGTCTAAGTCTTAGCAAAATGGTCTAACACAGCCTCAATTTCCAATTAACACACTCCTTCTTAACAGAGCATTCACCCTGGCAAACCCAGACAAGAGGCCTTGGCCAGGCTGCCTCTAGGCTGCATGGATGCCCTCTTCACGGACCTGCCAGGGTCAAAGCTGTGTGTAATAGGATGGTGGTTTATCACAAGATCTGATTTAGGGCCAGAGCAAATAACTGTGACCTACTTCCCTGAGCTGCTGGCTGCTGTATGGATTTGTGTGAGCTCTTGTCATAGGCATTCAGGAAAAGTAATTATCCAGGCAGGCTCCAGGGGCTTCGAAATTGTGATATTTAATTCATGAGATCAGGGATGCCATAACCTGGGCGACGCAGCAACAGGAACAGCCCAGAAGGAATTTAGGGTCAGAACAGATCAACAAATGCTCCCTAGATCAGGGAAATGGTCCTGGCATACGTTAGTTAATCTTTTCCTTCCACTGGGCTCCTAGAGTGCGCAGGGACTCCATCAGCCCCTGACCTTTTCCCTTCTAGACGTCCTCTTCCCTGCACTTCCGGGCAGGTCCTTTCACAGGACCTCCAGATTCCAGGCCTCACCATTGCATGCTACCATTTCCATTACCTGGTACATGATGGAGGACGGCGGAGGCTCGATGCATGGCTGCTGGTCCGGGAGAGGCAGCTCCTCCAGCAGGTCCACGTTGGACAGGGCATCTTCCAAAGTGACGTGGGTGGTCATGGCTGTGGTGTCTGTCTGCCACACTGATGGAGAGGAAGAAAGAACAAGGGAAAATTTCAGGGTCCTCCAAATACTTCCTTTGGCCTCACCCTATTCAAACTCCTTCTGGAGGGTGGATGGTTAAGAGTCACCGAGGCCATGCTCAAAAGAAGAAAACTTGGCTACGCTCAAAAGAAGAAAACTTCTTCATAGGTGTCTTCTATCTACACCTTTAAAATTTGAGGATCAGAGCCAGTGAGATGGCTCAGATGACCTGAGTTCGATCTCTGGGACCCACACATGGTGAAAGGAGAGAATAGAGTCCCACACGTTGTTCTCTGACCAACACATACCCACCATGGCATGAGCCACCACACCACCATATCATATACGCACACAAATAATAATGAAATAATATATTTTGAGGATATCTTGGCTGAGCCTCACCACAACTGTCTTCTACTAGTGTGAAAAGCTGGGTGTAGTGGGTAGCCATTCCAGCTTTGATCTGGAAGTTCCAACCCCCATTGAGACTTCGGCAACTGTCACGCCTACAAGGCGGGGCCAAGGGAGGCACCTGGAGACCCGAGATCTGGATGGGCAGTGCTCTCTCTGGTCCGGGACCCTGGACGGTGGAGGTGGACAGAGCAGAGCTCCAGAGAACACCGCTGGACTGCGATACACCTTCCCCAGACCCCGCCACCTACTGATCCCTTAATTTGTAAGTTACGCCATTAAATAAATCTCCTTTTAACTACGTGGAGTGGCCTTAATAATTTCACCAATAGCTGGGTTCTGCCAACACACAGCTCTGAGAAGTAATGTGACACCTACATGATCAAGTCAGCAAGGGTAAAGAATCTGGATTGATGCTGGGCACAGGGACACAGGCCTCCTGCTCTTCATAAGGACATTCATCAGTTCCATTCTTAGATATTGGTACAGGACAAATATCCATGACTGAACAGGCAGGACAACCAAGGAGTCCTACACCTAGGTTTTATAGGCTAGTTAAACAGAGACTACATGGTTGTCAACTCCTGGAAACCAACCTTATTTGAAGCAATGAAGAAGCCACCCTGTGTCCCTTGGTCTGGGGACATTTTATGAACCACACCAAAGCAACCAGCCCTTAACAGGTATTTCTGTGTCTTGGACCCAGGCAGACTGTGGCTGGTTGGAGGATAACTCTGCCAGGCAGTGAAGCAGAAAGGACAGCTAACCAACTCAAGCTAGTTGCTATTTTAAGAATACAGCACTGCGCAAGCAGAAGATTCATTTTTTAACCCCAAATTTCATGTGAAAACTGATTTAAAACTTACAATGTATGATTTAGTGTATAAACTGGGTTCCCCCAAGTAGCCTCCAAAAATGATATGTTAAATCAGGTATAGTGATGCATGCATGTGATCCCAGCACTTGGGAGACGGAGGCAAGAGGATCATGAATTTGAGGCTAGTTTGGGTTACATAGCAAGTTGAAGGCCTGCCTGGTTACACAGCGAGACTGATCTCAAGCCACATCCCTCAAGTGAAACAAAACCAACACCATGAGTTACTATAGCACCAACAGTACAGATTAGAACCCCTAAACTCACTCATTTGAAAACTTGTAAGTCCACAAAACTGATTCATAGTTACGGAGTGATTCAAACAGAAACATTAATTACTCAGAACTGAAAGGGAATGAACAAATATCTTCAGGACATTTAGTTGAAGGTAAGAAAAGCAGAACTTGGGTCTAGAGAGATGGCTCAGTGGACCAAGGGGCTTGCCGCTCTTTCAGAAGGCCTGAGTTCGGTTCCTAGCATCCACGTTGGGCGGCTCATATCCACCTGTAACTCCAGCTCTAGGGAACCCGGTGCCCTCTTCTGCACAAACACACACAACAAAACAAATCTTGGAAGAAAGAAAAGTGGAACTCAATTAGCCCAATGTTGCCCTCAAGCACTTAAAGAGACCCAAAGCTCAAACCCAAAGAAACAAGGCTAGAGGAGTCGGTCACTACAAAGGGAGAAATGAAGTGAAACAGTAGAGGTGAACAACAACAACAACATCAACAATAACAATAACAACAGGAACAACAGCAGCTGCAGCAACAACTAAGATGAGTCCTACGGGAAGATTAGCGACAAGAAGGCCAAACCTTTACTCCAGGAATAGGAAGAACACAGAGAGAAGAGCCACAGTGCTAGCCCAGGCCCATAGCAGGGAAGTGTGGTTTAGGCTTAAGGGCTGGAATCTCTCAATGTCAGGGATTGTGCTCTGTTGTTAGGAAAAACAGTGGCTGATGCCAGGCCCCATGGGGACCCTTGACATGTAAATGTGGTCTAGGGGCTGCAAAGAGCTGGAGTGTATGGCTGCAAAGGGTTGGAGCGAATACCCAAGGTCAGACTGCCAAGGAATACTTCCTTCAAGTCCAAGGTCTAGAGGGCAGATGGGGGCTGGGCTGCTGCGGAGCAGCTGACTAGAATTCACACTCCACTGAGCTCTCAAACACACCTTCTGGGCATGTACCCTGCCAGTGGCACAGCCAGCCTCCAGTGAGGACACCTGGAACTCAGCAGTGACCCACCCTCTGTCTCTCTTCTCATCCCTACTCAGAATTGTTAAGTGTGATGCTCAGGTCTACGGTAGTACGACTGGAGAAGGCCTCTCTTGTTCCTTGTATTACTATTTTTTATTTATATTTCTTAAGTTATGTGTATGCATGTGTGCCTCTGTGTGTGGGTATGTGCAGGTGCTGGTGAAGTCCAGAAGAGATCATCAGATTCCCTGGAGCAGGAGCTACAGGCGATCATGAGTCTCTAGGTGTGGGTACTGGGAATTGAACTTGGTTCCTCTACAAAAGCAGTATGTGCTCTTGACTTGTAAGTCATCTCTCCAGACTTTCTTACATTTCTATTAAGTCCACTTGAGGGAGGGATATTGATTTATAGGGTATATGATCTACAATACAAAGCCCAACAATTCCTTTCATTATGTCAAATAATAATAATAAACCTTTCTTGGTGCTAGACCCTGCGAGGGTTCACCTGTTGGCATAGCCTGTCAGTCACGCACTGTGGGAACTTGCTTCATAGGTGAGCAGCACTCAGTGTTTGGAAGCACGGCATTAGTGGGTTTGGGCTCTACTTGTACCGAGAATCACACAAACAGCGTTATCAATATCTGCCTAAGATCCTCCCTTAATCCCAAGAGGACATCATTTAAAAGCATACTGTTTCATTTGCAGTAAGAAATCCAGACTGCAATGACTGATCAAACTCTTATGACCACCGTGCCACAGACCAGCTAGGAGAAGCTGGCCCTCAGTCACACTGTTGGTTGGGGTATAAAATACGTAATTGTAACGACTGAAAAATGCAAACATCCATCACCACAGGACTGCTGGAGCCCTCCACAGTGAGGACTGGGCAGCAGCAAGCCTGAGCAGCAGCAAGCCCTGGGATATGTGTGTGTGTGTGTGTGTGTGTGTGTGTGTGTGTGTGTGTACCACATGATCCCATTATCCAAGAGGAAGATGCATACACAAACACATTTATTGAGACAGAGACTCAAGGATGGACTATATAAAGACTGGAGCTTTGAGGAAGGAGGAGAAAGAAAGTTAAAGCCTACAGAGGCAGGGAAACAGTTCAGCATTTCTTGAATGCACCTGGTGTTCCAGGTTTACATTATTGTAAAACAAGCTTTAAACTTAAAATGAAAATCCCTAACAAGGAATAAAAGGAAAGAAAGGAATGCGTGTGTGAACAAATTGTTGGTATAGCCACACAGAAAGGAACTGTTCCATTGATTCTGTGATTTGGATGGGTGTGGGTGTGTGTGCTTGTGAAGGCCAAAGGGGGATGCTGGATCTCCCACCCCCTTACTCTTCCTGCACTACCTTGAGTCAGGGTCTCTCACTGAACCAGGGGCTAGGCTGACAGCCAATAAACCTTAGAGATTCTCCTGTCTCTGCCTCCCACAGCACTGGGATTATAGAAATGCATGACTGTGCCTAGCTTTTTACATGGGTGCTTGTGTGGCAAGTGTTCCTACCCACAGAGCCATCTCTCCAGCCTCTAATTCAGTAATCAGATGGTAGATCCTGGTGGGACACATCCTGAGAATGACAAAAATAAAAAGGGAAAAAGAAAGTAATAAAAAAAAAAAAAGCTTAGATGGTCATGGTGGTGCACACCTGTAATCTCAGCATTCCAGAGGCAGAGGGTATCTCCGAGTTTGAGACCAGCCTGGTCTACAGAGTGAGTTCCAGGACAGCCAGGGCTACACAGAGAAACCCTGTCTTGAAAAACAAAAAGAAAAACAAAAACAAGCTCAGTTTATTTTTCAATGTCATAGTGGTATGTTATTGTGACATGTTTGGATGTATTATGAGGAAATGAGTGTTTATGAGATGTGTTCCTGGTATTGTTGAGATAAGACATTCTTGACATGACTGAAGATACATATTTACAACTGAAGAGAGTCATTAAAAACCAAATATCACAGGCAAAGGTACTGTGGTATGCAGTGGTTTGAAAGAAAATGGCCCCCAAAGGGAGTGGCACTATTAGGAGATGTGGTCTTGTTGGAGGAAGTATGTCACTGTGAGGGTGGGCTTTGAGGTCTCTTTTGCTCAAGCTTCCCTCAGTGTGACACTGAGACCACTTCCTGTTGCTTGAAACATGTAGGACTCTCATCTACTGCTCCAGCACCATGTCTGCCTGCACACAGGCATGTCCCATCATGATGATAATGGACTGAACTCTGAATTGTAAGTGAGCCACCCCAATTAAGTATTCCTTTATAAGAGTTGCTGTGGTCATGGCGTCTCCTCACAGCAATAGAAACCCTAACTAAGACATGGTGGTTAGCTTTGACTATGGGCTTGATACACCACAGAATCACCTGGAAGCAAAGTCTCAATGAGGGATCACCTACATTGGGTTGGCCTGTAAGCATGTCTATGGGGGATTGTCTTAACTGAGTTGACTGATGTGGGAGCACCCAGCTGTGGGAAGCACTGTTCCTTAGGCAGGGGGTCCTAAACGATATAA